GGAAGGCTGAAGTTCCAGCAGCGGGGATGATTCCCAGCAGGCAGACCCTCCTGGCAGGGATTCCCACACCCCCAGGCTGGTCTCCCTGGAGGGTCAGGACTCACCCGGTGTCCCCTCCCCTCCCCAGGTGCTGTTCCTACGTGGGCCGCCGGGGAGGGGGCCCCCAGGCCATCTCCATCGGCAAGAACTGCGACAAATTCGGCATCGTGGTGCACGAGCTGGGCCACGTCATCGGCTTCTGGCACGAGCACACGAGGCCTGACCGGGATGACCACGTCTCCATCATCCGGGAGAACATCCAGCCAGGTAGGGACAAGCCTCCATCCTCCTCCTCCTCCTCCTCCTCATCATCATCATCATCCCTGCCACGGGGTGCTGGCGAAGTTGGGGTCCCCCCCTCTGAGTGTGTCCCCATCCCGTTTTCCCAGGGCAGGAATACAACTTCCTGAAGATGGAGCCGGAGGAGGTGGAGTCGCTGGGGGAGACCTACGACTTCGACAGCATCATGCACTACGCCAGGAACACCTTCTCCAGGTACCTGCCCTGTGGGGGGGGGTGGCTCGGCCTTGTGTCCCCTCCTGTCCTGGGGACAGTGCCACGGCATCCCCAGCCCCTCACAGGGTTAATTCACGTCCTCTCTGACTCACCGGCCCGTGGGCTTCAATTAACCAGGCTGCTTTTAATTAGCCGGGCTGTTTTTAGCATTTTTCCCTTCGGGGAGCGGCCGCAGGGCCGGGGAATTCCCGCCCAGCTCACCCTCCTCCTGTCCCAGGGGCATCTTCCTGGACACCATCCTGCCCAAGTATGACGTGAACGGCGTCCGGCCGGCCATCGGGCAGAGGACGCGGCTCAGCAAGGGGGACATCGCCCAGGCCCGCAAGCTCTACCGCTGCCCAGGTGAGGGAGGTGCTTTTTGGGGTCCTCCCCGTGCTGGGAGGAGCTCACAAGGTGCCTTTTGCCGTCCGTGGCACTGTTTTTTGGGGGGGGAATAGTGAGGAGAATTTGGATGCAGGAGCTGGGTGAGCCCTGGGGCTCTGCTCTTGAGAGCTGCCCTTCCTCTCCTCCTGCTTCTCCAAGAAAAGGGTACCCCCAAGAGCATTCCCCTAAAAAAATCCCCCCGAGGGCATCCCCCCTCCCAAAAAAATCCTCAAAAGAGCGTCCACCCCAGAGTATCCTCCAAGAGGATCCCTCAAAGAGCAACACTCCAAAAAATCCTCTCTGGACTGTCCTCTGAGAGCATCCCCCAAAAGAGCATCCTCCAAAAGCACCCCCCAAAGAAAATCCCCTCAGAGTGTTCCCCTAAAAAAAAAATCCCCCAAAGAGAATCCTCCAAGAACATTCCCCAAGAGCACCTCCCCAAAAAAATCCTCCAAAGAGCTTCTCCCCCCGGACCATCCCCCTCAAAGAGCATCCTCTAAGAGAAGAGCATTCCCCCGGAGTATCCTCCAAGAGCATCCTTCCTCCCCCATTAAAAAAAATCCCCTAAGAGCATCCTTGAAGGGCAGAGCGCTCCCCAGAGAGCACTCCCTGGGCACACAGCACCCTCTGAGAGCAAACCCTCCTCCATCCCACCCCAGCGCCGGGATGAGGCACAGCCGGGTGCTGTGCAGGGATGATGATCCTGGTGGGATGGGACAGCCTGGCCCCCCCCTCCCAGGGCAGGACAACAGTGCTGGCACCCTCGAAGGGGCATCAAGGACCGGTGGCGTTGCCCCAAGGCACGGTGAGGAGGGGGCTGGCACGAGTACCCCAGCAACAGGCACGTGCTCCGGGAGGCTGTGCTGGCAAACACATCTGCAAGGAGTTTTGGCTCCCGCACGCGCTCCCGCTTTTAATTCCAGCCGCTAATTAGCAGCCTCGTGGAAGAGGGACGCCTTTGTGAGAGGGGGGCCCCCTCAAGGCCGTGCCGCCCCCTCGGGGGGCTGCGGGGGAGCGGGAAAAGTGATTAGTTTGGAGCAAGGAAAAGAAGGGAAGAAAAAAAAAGGGGGAAGAAAGCCTCCCCCAAAAAGCCTCTCTGGATCTCTTTTGTTTTCCACCGGTAAAGAAAGGAGGGGGATGGGGAAAGAAAGGTTTGAAAGGGTTTCAAACGGCCCTTTTTTCGCACCGTTTCACCTTTCAGCTCGTGTATCCCCCCCCCCCACCTCCGCCACCCCGAGCGGGAGGGGGAGGAGGCTGCCTTGGCCCCTGCAAAGCCCCGTGTGTGCCGCTTCCACGGCATCATGTGGCTCCCAGATGGCAGCGCTGGGCCGGCTCCAGCCGCGGCTGCGGAAAACCTGCCCCGGAGCCCGGGCGTGGAGCCGGGGCCCCCGCGGCGGGGAGGGACACGGCGGGAGGCCGGGATGGCTCCTGCCCCGCGGCTGGGCGGTGAACACGGGGGTGGGAGCGACGCCAGAAGCCCCTCAGATTTCGGGGATGCACCAGCGAGGTGGTGATGTGGGGATTTTTTGGAGTACTCTGGCGCTGGGAATTTGAATGGGAGAAGGGCACAGCGGGGTCTGGGGGGGCTTCCCCGGGGGTCTGACTTCTGTGTTTTCTCCTCTGTAGCCTGTGGGGAGACACTCCAGGACAGCCAGGGTAACTTCTCCTCCCCGGAATTCCCCAATGGATACTCTGCCCACATGCACTGCGTCTGGAGGATCTCTGTCACCCCTGGAGAGAAGGTACTGGCTCCCACCTCCTGCCAGCCCTACTCTCCCTCCTCCCTCCCTTTTTTTGGGGTGTCCCTGATCCCAGCATCCCTTTGTGGGCCGAGGGCAGAGCAGGGCTGGAGGCTCCCACTGACTCCCAGCAGAGGGGGTGCAGGGGGGGGCTCACCCCACGCTCTTCCTGCTCCTTCCCAACCTCAGATCATCCTGAATTTCACCACCCTGGACCTGTACCGAAGCCGGCTGTGCTGGTACGACTACGTGGAGGTGAGAGACGGGTTCTGGAGAAAGGCCACGCTGCGAGGTAACAACCCGGGGCCTCCTGCCCGCTCCTCCTGCCCACCGGGAACGCTCCAGCAGTGTGACCAGGGGCTCCCCTCGGCCTCTATCCTTGCCTGGCTGGTGTTCCAAAGTCCTGGGGTGGGGGGGAAACCAACCCCCAGAGGGGTTATTGGGGTGAGCAGAGCTCCCAGTTTGGCCCCACGCCAGTGAAACCAGTCTGGGTGACCCAGCTGGCTGGCACAGGGAGGTGCCAGTGTCCCAGTCCCACCCCTACCAGCTGGATGTTCCCCAGGGAGATTCCAGGATCCCGGTCCCATCCCCAAGAGCTGGATGTTCCCCAAATCCCAGCTGGCCCTGGAATAACCAGTTTAAGTTCCGAAACCGCCAGCAAAGCTGGAGGGGAGCGGGGAGAGAAGCAGCGCTTTGGCTTTAGGCTGGGAAGGGGCACAGGGGGCACCAGGAGGGGATGGCTGGGAGGAAGAGGATGGGGTGGCGAGGAAGAGGAGGGGTTCCTGGCCAGCAGGAGCCCAGCACGCCTTCCTCCCCAGGCAGGTTCTGCGGGAACAAGCTGCCCGAGCCCATCATCTCCACCGACAGCCGCCTCTGGGTCGAGTTTCGGAGCAGCAGCAACTGGGTGGGCAAAGGATTCTTCGCTGTCTACGAAGGTAGGGGGGAGCAAGGGGGGCCAGGAGGTCAGTTAAGGGGCTGGGGGGGGGCTCAGGCCGCTGTTCCTCCCTTCCAGCCATCTGTGGGGGGGACGTGAAGAAGGACAACGGGCACATCCAGTCCCCCAACTACCCCGATGACTACCGGCCCAGCAAGGTGTGCGTCTGGAAAATCACCGTCTCCGAGGGCTTCCACGTGGGACTGACCTTCCAGTCCTTCGAGGTGAGTCAGCCTTCCTCCCAGACTGGGATGGGGAAGTCTCCCCAACCCAGGGACAGGCCTGGGGCTGCCCTTCCTGACTCCACATCCCCCCGTGCTGCCTCCCTGCCTCAGTTTCCCTGTGCTGCGCCTTCTCTCGGCCTGTGGGCAGCAGGGAGGGTTTGGGGGGTGCAGGGGGCTGAGACAGACCCGGTTCTAACACCCTTCCCACCAGATCGAGCGGCACGACAGCTGTGCCTACGACTACCTGGAGATCCGGGATGGCAGCACTGAGTCGAGCAGCCTCATCGGCCGCTACTGTGGCTACGACAAGCCCGACGACATCAAGAGCACCTCCAACAAGCTCTGGATGAAATTCGTCTCCGACGGCTCCATCAACAAGGCGGGTTTCGCCGTCAACTTCTTCAAAGGTGTGGGGGACGCTCCCTGAGGGGGTGCTGGGAGGGGTCACGGCCCCCTCTTCCCGCTCATCCCACCCTGCCCTGCCCAGAGATGGACGAGTGCTCCCGGCCCAACAACGGCGGCTGCGAGCAGCGCTGCGTCAACACCCTGGGCAGCTACAAGTGTGCCTGTGACCCTGGCTACGAGCTGGCATCTGACAAGCGCCGCTGCGAGGGTGAGTGCCCCCCCACAACTCCCTGACTACCCCCCAAACGATGCCCCCTCGCAGCGTCCCTGACCCTGTGGAGCCTGGGGAGGTGACGGGCGCCGGGTGCCTCCCGCCCTGCAGCCGCCTGCGGAGGTTTCCTCACCAAGCTCAACGGCTCCATCACCAGCCCGGGGTGGCCCAAGGAATACCCCCCCAACAAGAACTGCATCTGGCAGCTGGTGGCCCCCACCCAGTACCGCATCTCCCTCCAGTTTGACTTCTTCGAGACCGAGGGCAACGACGTGAGTGGGCGGCAGGCGCTGCTGGGAACCTCCCCCCCAGGGGGTGGCACGCATGTCCTCGTGTTCCACACCCCGTGCCACCCCACAAGGTGTGCAAAGGCGGCTTTGTGCCCCCCAGGTGTGCAAGTACGACTTCGTGGAGGTGCGCAGCGGGCTGACGGCCGACTCCAAACTGCACGGCAAGTTCTGCGGCGCCGAGAAGCCCGACGTGATCACCTCGCAGTACAACAACATGAGGATCGAGTTCAAGTCCGACAACACTGTCTCCAAAAAGGGCTTCAAAGCCCATTTCTTCTCAGGTAGAGCTGCCTGGGCCCGGCACGAGCGTCCCCTGCCCTCTCTCACCCCTCGGGCCCTCCCCACGCCCCCCAAACCGCCGCTAACGCTCCCCTCGCCCACACCGGGGGTGCAGCCCCCTGGTCCCAGCCCAGTGGTGATGGGGTGACCCCTGTGGGGTCTGAACCCTCCCAGCCCCCGCCAGCCTGGCTGGCGGCACATTCTGGGAGGTTTTCCCCTCTTTTGAGAGGAATAGTTGGGTCCTAGTTCAGTGCTCTTGGGAGGCCCTCAGATTTCCAGGGGGTGCTGGGGGCCAGCTGGGGACAGGGATGTGCTTGACCCTGGGTGCTGCACCCCTCGGGTGGGGGGACGGTGACACCCTGCTCTGCTGCGCTGCTGCTCCCTGCTACGCTGCACGGCATCGGCTTCCTCTGCTTCCCGGGATCAGCATCCGTCCACATCTCAGCTCTCTGGGGCGACTCCCTCCTCCAAAAACCATTACCTGCCTATCCCTGTCCGCTCCACGGTCCGCCCTCCTCTCCTGGGCCACCCCTCCAGGAGGTGGTGCCACCTTTGGATGGGTTGCAGGGTGGTAGGGATGGGCACATGGAATGTAACGCTGGATGCAGCCGAGCATCGCCCAGGGCTGGACCCCTGACTGGGGGCTGCCACGGGACCCTCGTGCAAGAGAGAGTCCCCTCGGTGTGGCACAGTGCCCTGGACACCATCCCGGCCGTGAGCGACTGGCAGCACCTCTCGGATCCCTCCTGCCGTTTTTGTGGGGCAGTGTGGCCACCTGGCTGCGGGAGCAGCAGGACCGGCATCCCCCGGAGCCCCGCAGGGTTCCCTGGAGTAGGGGTCGAGTGTCTTTGCTTTATTTGTTTAATTAAAACCAAGGCAAGTAGGGCGGCCCAGGGGGCCCAGCCGTCGGGAGCCGGCACCCTCCACAAAGTGAATCCTCGGGGAAGCCCCGGTGGCCGAGCGGGACCACGGGGCAGCCGGGTGAGTGTCCCCCCTGCGCAGCTCCTTCCCTCTCCCCTTTTCCCTGCTTCTCCTCATCCCACCGGGATGTGCGGTGATCCCGTGGGGGCTGTCCCAACCCCAGCACACCAAACCCTCTCCTCCACCTCTCTGCACCCAGGTCTCGGGCTTTCCCGGCAGCAGGACCACCCCGGAGGACTCGGCCACAGCGGGGCCCCTCTTTCAGTCCCTGCCCCGGGGTCGCTCCCGGCCATGCCTGGGCAAAACATCTCCCATGCGGCGCCTTTTTAGCCGTGGAGGGTCCCTGAGCTCCGGACGAGCCCCGTTCCTTGGTGCCAAGGGCAGCCCGGCCACCTGGGCACCTATTTTTCCCCGGTGAAGACATGGCCCCTTCCTCTTCCTCCTCCTCCTCCTCCTCCTCGTCCTTGCGGGCCGGGGCTCCATCAGCTCGCGTGTAAGGATGCGGGACAATTCTGCCTGGGAATCCGCCACGGTGTCGGCACCCAGGTGAGTGCCCCCGGCTCTCGGCCGAGCCCCGGCGCAGGGGGGTCTCCGCAGCGGGGGGAAGAGGCGCCGGCGGGGGCTGCGGGAGCTGCCCCGGAGCCCTTCGGATGCCCGCTGGGGAGAACAGTGGTGAGCGCACGGCCGATGCCGGGTGGCGGCGAGCGAGCCGGTTGGAATAAAGGATTGCTAAAGACACCGACCCGGTGGGCTTCTTTCCGCTGCCAACTCTCCTCTGCTCTTGTCTCGCCCGCCCAGGCTCCCTCCCTCCCCCGGTGCTGGAGCTGCTCTGAGCCCAGAAGCCCCTTCCCATCCCCAAACGGGCCTTCCCGCCTCGCTTCCTCCCTCAGACGTAGGAGACTGTCAGGTTACGGCCTCCGGTTGAGAGGCAGGGGGGGCTGGGGCAGGGCCCCCCTCACTGCTGGCTCCGGGAGGGATGCTCCTGTCCGGCACAGCGGGATGCTGGGGAGGCTGGTGCTGATTGCTGCTGATTTCCTCCCCCTCCAACAATGCCCACTCCTCAGAACACCACCTCGCGGGGAGGGGGAGAGGGGGGAAAAAAAATGGGACGTGGAGCATCTCTTGAGGGGTGCTCGGGGGTGCTGAGACATCGGCGATAGGCCCCTCGGGAAGGTGGTGGGATGGGAGGTCAGCTCGGCCAGCAAGGGGATGCTCCCTAACCCGTCCACTGCCATTCCCAGACTGGATACCTACAGGAGCCCACGCAAAGCCCACCCTCATCCTCCCGGAGCCAGCCCTGCGCCTCCTCTTCCTCCTCTTCCTCCCCTCAGAGCCGCTCTCCCCAGGCTGCAGAGGGGGCTCCCGGGGTGTCCCCCTCGCTGCTGCTTCCCCGGCTGCTGCTCCGCATGCGCCCCCCCGCCCCCGCCACCCCCGCGCCCCCATCGCTCCCCCTTCTCTCCCTCTCTCTTTGCAGAGAAGAAGCAGCAGCTGCAGCCCCCGAAATCTCGCCCGCCCGGCCTGAAGTTCCGCCTGCAGAAGCGGCTGCGGGGCCCCTCCTGAGCCGCTCCATCCTCTCCACCTTTCTCAGGAACGCCGCGGCCCCGGAGCTGTGCGGGAGCACGGCGGGACCGAGCCGAGCCGTGCCGCCGGCCCCCCGGCAGCCTTTTGCTTGACAGAACTGGTTGTTGACCTTATTTTTAAATTTTTTTTAAATTTTTTAATTTTTTTTTTTTTTTTTGTTGTTCCAAGCACCCCATATCCCTTTGTTTTTTGTCGTTTACCAGCTGACCTTGTTTTTTTTTTTTTCCTTCTCCCCCCACCCAACCCGATTTTTACCGTGTCTGTGACATTTCCTATCGATGAGTAAAGAGGGACCTCCCGCGTCCTGGTCTTTTCTTGTGCACCTTTGGTTGTCACTGTGTGTTTTTCTGCCTCCCCTCCCCAACCCCGTCCGTCCCGGCAGCAGGTAATGGTGGCACCAATGGGTGAGCCCACGGGAGAGGAGGACCCATCCCGCCCCTGGATGGGGCTGGATTTGGAAGCGGGACGCTGGAGCTCTGCTTGCTGCTGGCCGTGGGCGCTTGCTTGGCTGGGTGCTCCGCGGAGGGCGTGGGGCTGGTGGGGCTGGGATGCCGTGCCGGGCTGGAATACCCCACTCCAGGGTTTTCCCACCCCGCTCAGTGATCCCTCTGCTCTCTCCCAGACAAGGACGAGTGCTCGAAGAACAACGGGGGCTGCCAGCACGAGTGCCTCAACTCCTTCGGCAGCTACGAGTGCCAGTGCCGCAGCGGCTTCGTGCTGCACGACAACAAGCACGACTGCAAGGAAGGTGGGCCCATCCCGCATCCCAGCCCTGTGGGACACCCCCATTCCGTGCATCCGTGACCCTCTCCCTTGTCCCGGCAGCCGGCTGTGACCACAAGGTGACGTCCATCTCCGGGACCATCACCAGCCCCAACTGGCCCGACAAGTACCCCAGCAAGAAGGAGTGTACCTGGGCCATCAGCACCACGCCGGGGCACCGCATCAAGCTGGTAGGGACTGCGGGGTGGGGAGCGCTGGGGTGCCCTCCACCGAGCCCCACCGAGGGTCAACAACTCCATCCGTCTCCTCCGCAGACCTTCTCGGAGCTGGATGTGGAGGCGCAGCAGGAATGTGCCTACGACCACCTGGAGATCTATGACGGGAAGGACGCCAAGGCCCCGGCGCTCGGCCGCTTCTGCGGGGCCAAAGAGCCCGAGCCCATCGTCTCCTCGGGCAACAAGATGTTCCTCAAGTTTGTCTCCGACAACTCCGTCCAGAAGAAGGGGTTCGAGGCCACCCACACCACAGGTAGCACCGCGGGGCTGGGAAATGGGGCCGTGGGGTGCGGGGAGAGCATGGACGCCCCTAAACGCCGTGTTGTCCCCCAGTGTGCGGGGGCCAGGTCCGCGCCGAGGTGAAGACCAAGGACTTGTATTCCCACGCACAATTCGGGGACAACAACTACCCGGGGGGCTCGGACTGCGAGTGGGTGATCATGGCAGAGGAGGGGTTCGGCGTGGAGCTCATCTTCCAGACCTTCGAGATCGAGGAGGAAGCCGACTGCGGATACGACTACATGGAGCTCTTTGACGGCTACGACGGGACGGCCCCGCGCCTCGGCCGCTTCTGCGGGTCCGGGGTGAGCTGGGGAGGAATTGGGATGGGGTGTGGGGTTGGAACAATGTTAGGGTTGGGGTTAGGGAAGGTTAGAGCGGTGTGAGGGTGCAGGGTGATGGGTGAGCCCGAGCCAGAGCAGCAGGGAGAAATCCCTGTGGAATTCGTGGTGGTGAGACGGTTTGCACCCTCCCTGTTGGAAAAAATCCCCCCCTCCCTCCCACCGTGCACACACATCCCGGGAACGCCCATGGATCTGAGCATTCCCTCCCTCTCCCCTGCAGCCCCCCGAGGAGATCTACTCGGCCGGAGACTCGGTGATGATCCGCTTCCACTCGGACGACACCATCAACAAGAAGGGTTTCCACCTTCGCTACACCAGCACCAAGTTCCAGGACACGCTGCACACGAGGAAATGAGGGCCGGGGGTCCCGGCCCCACCCCCGCGGGCAGGGGAAGAGGAGGAGGAGGAGGAGGATGAGGGCAGGGAGGAAGGCGGGGAGCGCTGCTGCCCCGCACAGACTGCACGGAGGAGGAGCACACAGCCAACCTCAGCACTCAAGACACGCTCGCACGGGGCGCCGGGGCTCGGGCGCCCACGGCATGGGGGGCACGAGGGGGGAGCCTGCTGGAAACCACCCACCCCGGTGCTGGGGGGGGCTGAGCGGGACCCGCTGCCCTTCCCTGCCCCGGCCGAAGCTCTGAATGTACAAACCAGTAACCGGGAAGAGCCCAAAACACACACAAGGTGCTGTCTCTCTCTTGTACCCATGAAATAAATACCCTTGTACTTGGAGCGGGGCAGCCCCGGCCTCTTTGCTTCCGCCCCGGGAAAAAACGGCATCCAAAACGGGGCTGGAATAGCAGGGGGAGAGCCCCTAGCACCCTGCACGGACCTCCATCCTCAGGGATCTGATGGAGCAGAGCCAGCAACCCTGACGGAGCAGCCGGACCATGTCCCAGGGATGGTGGGACCCGTGACGGGACATGGGGTCTGTCAGAGCCCCCCACTCCCCCAGCATTCTGCAGGAGGGTGCTCCCCACATACACACACACCACTTATCTCACCCCCCAGCAGCACCCCAGTGTGGGTGGGTGGGTGCCACGTGCCGTGCCCACCGCGTGCCGTGCCCACCGCGCGCTCCGGCGCGTCCCGGTGCCGGTGGCAGATGGCGGGTGGGCTGTGCCGCGGCCCCCGCGCCCACCGCGTGCTCCCTCGTGCCTCCCCTCCATCCCAAGCTCTCTGCCGGTGCAGAACGTGTGTGTGAGGGTGTCAGGGTAGGGCTGGGATGCTCTGGAGTGGTTGTTTCCAGGTGGAATGGCGATGGGCACTGGGGTTTTGCATCCAGAGGGGTTTTCAGTCCCGATGGTGGAAAGAGGGTAATGAACCGAGGGAGCGTTTCAGCTTTTCAGTGACTGGGTAAGGTGTGAAGGCCCATAAACTTAACCACAAATATCTCCAAGGGATGCCAGAGGATGGTGCCAGACTCTTCCCAGTGGTGCCCAGCGACGGGACAAGGCCACAGACTAAACCACAGCGTGAGGAATAACTTCTTTCCCTTGAGGGTGGCAGAGCTGCCCAAGGAGGGTGTGGAGTCTCCCTCTCCGGAGACATTCCACACGTGCCTGGATGTGTCCCCACCTGCTCGGGACAGGGGGGGTTGGACTGGATGATCTCCTTCCATCCCAAACCTTCCTGTGAGCTGGTGAGGGCGGGAGGGTTACCCGTGACCACCTCAGCACCTTGTCCCCTCCCAGTCCCATCCCTCCTTTCCCTGAGCTGGAATTTCAGGGGAGGGGGGTCCAGAGCCGCTCCCCAGGGTGCCGGTGGGGGACAGAGGAGCGTGACACGGCCGGTGGCGACCGCACAGAGTTTATTGAAACACCTCCAGCACAGCACAGGGATGCTCGGGGGACGGGGGGGAGTTGTTGTTCTACAGCGTGCAGGGGGTACACAGAGATGGGAGTAAGTGGGGAGGGTGGGTGGGCACCCCGGGGAAGGGGAGGGTGGGCGCCCGGGGGCCGCACGCAAGCGCCATGCTGCCGACGGCTCATGCGGGGGCGGCGGGGTTGGGGTGGGAGAGACATGGGGTTGGGGGGGCTCAGCTCCACTCCCCTATTCCCCAGCTCCTCCGGCTGCCTCCGGGGCCACGCTTTGGGCAGCACAGGGCGGCAGAGCAGAGAGGGACAGCACAAGGGGTCCCCCGCACCGCTGCGGCCCCCCGAGAGCGGAGGGGTCCCTGTCTGAGCACCCCGCTGTCCCCGGGAGCAGTCCAAAAAAAACAGGGGTGCTTCCAGCCTCTCCACTGAACCCCCCTGGGGCGGCCAGGGAGCCCCAGTCCCGGTTGGCAGGACCGGGGCTCTCTGGGAGCTGCACAAACCTGGGGTGGTGGTGGGGGGGATGCAGGGGACACCGGAGGGGAAGGGGGTCCCGCAGCGGCTGCGCGGAGAAGGGCAGAGCGCGGGGCTCACGCCAGCGAGGATGATGCCGGTCGGCCAGTCCAGGAGATGAAGGCTTCTTCCCTCGGGGCGCAGAGCGGCCTGGTGGGCTCTGCCTCCCTGCCGGGCGAGCATCCCGCCGGCTCCTTCCTCGGGGGGGCCCCACGCGGCTCCCCCGCGCCCACCCGCGCCCTCCGCCCACCAGTGTCCGTGGGAGAAGCCCCCAGGGGCGGGCGCCCGTCCCTCTGCCCGGCCGTGCCCTCCTCCTCCTCCTCCTCCTCCCGCCCTTAGCGCCCCACGCTGATGTTGCACGTCTTGCAGCTGGGGTCCTTTTTGGCGTTGGCGGTGGACAGGCTCATGAGCTGGTGGCCGCTGATCTCCCCCAGCACGCCCAGGGCGAGGTCCACGGGCTCCGTGTAAATGACCTCCAGGATGCTGTCCTGGGCGTGGCGGTACACCAGCTCGCCCTCCTCCACGCAGCACGTCAGGAACTTGTTGGAGGAAATGTCCAGCTGGGGGAGGCGCTCCCGGCAGAAGAGATCCCCGGAGGAGCCCTTGGGCGCCAGGACCAGCACGACGTAGTGGTAGGCGGTGTACATGCAGTAGAAGTCCGCGAAGTAGAGGTTGGTGTTGGGGTTGAAGAGGCGCTGGGCCGGGATTTGGAAGCGGTACCGGCCGTAGGGCGAGTCCTGGGGGGGCTGCCCGGTGTTGAACTCGGTGTTGCAGCTGAAGAAGATGCCGTGCAGCATCCCGCTGGTGGGGGAGCCGTGGCTCCCGCTGTTGTCCTTCAGCGACGGCTTCATCACGTTCCCGCAGTGCATCCTGGCGCGAGGAGCAGCAGGAGGAGGAGGAGGAGGAGGAGGGACACACAGACAGGCACAGGCAGGGTCAGGGGGTACGCCCTGGGAGTGGTGGGGGGAGTGGGGAATGGGGGCTGGGGGTACCTGACGTGCTGGAAATACTCCTTGTGCTGGTTGCGGTAGAAGACGGAGAAGCGCAGCATGCGGCCGGCGATCAGCTCTGCCTTCTCCTGCAGCTGGGCCAGGTGCTCCTTGGCATAGTCTGGGGGGCAGGGATGGGGACATCAGGGCGTCTCCATCCCCCTCCGGCAGCCCTTCCCTGCCCGCAGCTCCCCGCACCTCCCGCCTCCCACTCATCAGCTGCCGCTCCAACCGGCCCGGCTTGTGCCAGCTCCCGGCATCGCCCCCGTCCTCCTCCGGGCTCCTGCATCCCGGCATTGCCCCCGTCCTCCTCCTGCCTCCCAGCTCCCAGCATCAACCCCATCCTCTTCCCTAGCTCCAGGCTCTCAGTATTGACCCCATTCTGCTCCCAGCACCCAGGATCGTCCCTGTCCTCCCTCTCAGCTCCTGACCCCCAGCGTTGACCTCGTTCTCCTCCCACCTCCCAGTTCCTGGGAAGGCCTCCATCCTCTGTCCTGGCTCCCAACTCCAGGGATTAATCCCCTCCTCCCTCCTGGCTCCCAGCACTGCCCCCTTACTTCTCCCAGCTCCCAGCGTCGTCCCTGTCCTCCCCATCTTCCCGATTCTGAGCCTCCTCTGTCCTCCCTCCTGTCTCCCGGCTCCCAGAATTGCCACCATTCTCCTCCCAGCTCCCGGCTCCTGGGATCGCTCCCATCCTCCCTCCTGGCTTCTGGGATCGCCCCCATCTTCCCTCCCGGCTCCTGGGATCGCCCCCATCCTCCCTCCTGGCTTCTGGGATCGCCCCCATCTTCCCTCCCGGCTCCTGGGATCGCCCTCATCCTCCTGGCTCCCAGGTGGCCCCCATCCTCCTCCCAGCTCCGGGCATTGCCTGTGTCCTCCTCCTCCTCCTCCTCCCAGCTCCCAGCTCCCAGCACTGTCCCTGTTCTCCTCCTGGCTCCCGGGATGATCCCCATCCTCCCCTCCCGGCCCCGGGCCTCCCGTGTCCCGCTCACCCCCGGTGCAGAACTCCACAGTTTCGCTCCAGCCGGACACCAGGTACTCGCCGTCGCTCTGTTTGACGGCCGTTTGCACGGCCACGCTGTACTCGGTGCGGGGGCTCAGGAACCAGTGCCCCCGCACCGTCATGGGCAGCGGCACCGCCTTGGCCACCAGCTTGGTGGGGACATCCTGTGCCCGGGGTGGGGGTGGGGGGCGAGGGTCAGGCGGGAGAGCAATCCCACCACCCCAAAATCCCCCCAACCCCGCCTCGCGCTCAGGGGGTGGTGCCAAGTACCGAACCCCCCAAAAAACATCCACCTCGGGGCACCCAAAACACGGTGGGGACACTTCTCCTGTTGCCCCCTCCCAGCTCTGTCCCCCTCTCCCCGTCCCCAGACAGCGATGGGGGCGCAGGGTCCCCACGGAGGGCGGGGGGCTCGGGGACCCCCAGCTCCCGGTGGCATCTCGCGGTGTCAATAGGCCACGGAGCAGCTCCGCAGTGCAGAGCCGTTTCTGTGGCAACGGCGGATGCTGAAGTCGGGAGATAGAGGGGGGGAGAAATATCCCACCCCCCCACCCCTGATTATTGGGGAGGAGAGAAAAAAAAAAATAATGTTAAACATTAAATAGCATCACCGTGGCAACGGCGCTGCTAAAAACGGCCCCGAATTAGTGACTCGCAGCACGGGGAGGGAGAGTGGGAGAGGTTTGTGGCTCTGCTCCCCCGCGGGGCCTTGAGGGGGGGTCCGCCGCCCCCTGATCCCCATCCCACTGCCCTCCACCAGTTTGTCCAGAGTGGGGAATGACCCAAATCAGCGTGGGAGTGGGTTAAAAGCCAGTTTCCTCTCGCCAACCCCATCTCCTCACCCTGGACAGGGGGTCCCACATCCCCCTCCCACCACCCCCTCCCGCGGGCTCACCCGGTGCTTGAACTTGTTGGAATTCTTGTTCTCCTTCTTGTTGAGGTCGATGAAGTAGTGGGTGACCCTCTCCAGGTCCCCCTTCTCCATGGCCCAGGAGATGCGGAAGGAGTCGCAGGTGATGTTGTTGATCTCGATGTTCTTGGGGGTGGAGAGCAGCTCCATGGCCGGAGGGGCTGAGCTCCTGCGGGCACGGCGCGGCTTTTGGGGGGGTTGCCGAGCAGCCCCCCGAGCTGCCCACGTCGGCAGCTGCCGGGGCCGCTCCCCCCGCGGCGGAGCAGATGGCACCGGGGGGGTGGAAAAGCGGCCGGCAGCCAGGAATAGGCAGCGCGCAGGCAGGAGCAGGCAGCGGGACGCCGGGGAACAAGCCCGGTCGGGTGCGGGGGCCCCGGCCGCTCCCCCGGGTGCCGCGGGGCCCCGGCGCGACGCCAGCGGGTGTTTCGGGGTTTGCTCAACACCCGGGGTGGGGAAAGAAAAACAAGGGGAGCCGAGGGAGTGCTGGGAGAGAGGGGAGGGTTGGACGCGCGGGCACTGGAAAAGCTGGATCCGCCTTTTCGCCCTGGCCCGTGCCTCAGTTTCCCCCTCTTCGCTGCGCCCCCCCCGGGGAGCCGCTCTGGGGGTGGGGGGACACGCGGTGACACCCGTGACGCGGGAAGGGGGGTGATGCTCCGGGGGGATCGGGGGGGTGAGGTGGGGTGGGTGCCCCCCATCTTGCGCCCCGGTACCCCCGGATTTGTGCGGGGGCAGCCGTGCCCGATGTACCCGGAGCCCCCCTCCCCACGCTCCCCGCGTGCCCACGGACACCCACGCCGGGCTCATCCGTGAGTGTCCCTGTCACTCGGCCACCCACGGCCACCCACGACCACCCAGTGTGTCCCCCCCCCAATCTGCGCAGAGCCGGGGGTCACCCCCAGCCCCACTCAGCACCCCCCAGCCACCCCAAGCAGGGTGCCACCCAACAAATTCTTCTCCCCCCCCCAAAAAAACCCTCGGGCACGGCAGAAGGTCACCGCGCTGGGGACAAGGTGCCACCTCGCTGCCCCACTCCCGTGCCCGCCGGTGGCGCAGGAAATTCCGCACCGGGATTGCTCCAGCCGGATCGTGTCACCGCGTCCCCGTGTCCCCAGCACCCCGCGCCCCTCAAAAAGCCCTCAGCGAGCCCTCCATGTCCCCACACCCCACCTCCCCCCATATCCCTGTGCTACCCCCGGGCATCCCTCGGCGGTGCCACTGGGATGTTGTCCCGACGCCACCGGGATTCGGCGGCTGCTCCGGGTGTCCCGGTGCCGGTGAGGGCCTTACCTGGCCGTGCCGGGGGGCTGCCGGGACGCGGTGGGATGCCGGTGGAGCGGCAGGGTGGGAGGAGGGTAGAGGCGGCAGGACAGGGAGCCCCGGCGGGGCTGATCCAGGCGGGAAGGACGGAGGATGCCGGTGGGATCGCGGTGGTACCCGGCGCTGCCGCGTCGCTGCCTGCGGCTGATGCGACTGGGATCCTCCCAGCCAGCTCGGAAATAGCAAACACCCTCCAGAGGAGGGAGAGAAGAGGGGAGAAAAAAAAAAAAAAAAAAAGGGAAAAATAGATATCCAAGGAGCTGGGAGAAAAAAGGGGGAGGAAGGAAAAACCTCCCGGTTCTGCCAATGGGATGGAGGGACGCGTGCGGCGTCAGGTGATGGAGGCAGAGCGGGATGTGGGTGCACACTGGGGGTGGGTGGTGGGCAGGTTCTGCCTGTACCCTCCTGCTTTTGGGGCTGGGGGGCAGAGTGTCCCGGTTGTGCTGCACCCCCGCTCCGCAATCCATCCCCAAAAATGTGATGGATGAGGCGCTTGGGGAGGTTGGAACCCGCTCAGGACCCCACCGTGGGAAAGGGGGTGCAAAGCCTGAGTGGAGGTGGGGGGGCACTTGGTGTTTTGCACTTAGCAAGCACGCTTTTTGGGAGACACGTTCTCTTTCGGAGTGGGGGCGGGCGCCCCAAAAAACTCACTGTCCCTCCGAATTTCTCAGAGGGGGGGGTGCCCACGCGTGACCCTCCCACCCCGAAGGGGTGGCAGGCGGCTGGAGGGCTGTAGAGGACTCTGAGGGAGTCCTCCCAGGAAGCCGTGGGAGTGTTAAATGACCAGTTGAGTGACCCCCCCCACCCAAAAAAAACCCCACATCCCCCCGTGCCCGGTGCCGAGAAGCGGGCGCTGCCCGCCACAAAGATGGCGCCGCCGGCGTCCCGAGGGGCCGGGCAGTGCCAACCACAAAGATGGCGCCTCACGGGCAAGTCCCGCTGCCCTTAACGAACATGGCGACAGCGGCGTCGCCCCGGGGAAGGGAGCTTTGCGCCCCGCGCATGCGCGGTGGGGGCGGCGAGCCCGTGGCTGCCCGGGCAGGGTGAGGGGCGGCGTGGCCGGAGGGGGGGCGGTTTTGGGGGTCGAGGGGGTCCTGGGGGGTGGGAGAGGAGGGATGAGACCCCTGAGGAGAGCGGGGCGAGGGGTCCTGGTTGGGGGTGTATCGAGGGGGTAATAGCGGGTAATGGGGGACTGAGACCACAGGGGAGGGAAAAAGGGGTCCTGGGGGAGCGGGTGGGGGCTGAGAGCTTTGGGGAGGGGGTGCAGGGGGTCACGGGTGTCTGAGAGTGCTGGGGAAGGCAAGCAAGGGAGTCCTGGGGGTGCGGGAGGTGGAGCTGAGACCCCCGGGAGGGGCTGCCAGTGGATTTTGGGGGCTGAGACCCTGGGGAGGGGGTGCGAGTGGATTTTGGGAGTCTGAGACCCTTGGGGAGGGGGCTACAAGTGGGCCCTGTCTGAGGGTGTATGGGGGGGGCTGAGCCTTTTGGGAAGGGGGTCCTGGGGGGAGTGGGGGGTGCATTGTTGGGATGCGGGGATATGATTGAGCCCCGTTGAGGGGTGCAGGACCCCCAAACCCTCTTGAAAGGGGTGCAGGAGGGTGGTCTGACCGTGCCCCTTCCCCACAGGATGGCCGAGGGGAGCTCTGGCAGCTCCGGCTCCCCCGGCAGCCTCCACCCGGGGGTCCCGGGGGCCCGGGGGGTGCTGGGCAGACGTCCCGCTGCCCCCCCCCTCACCCCGGGCCGCCTGCCCTCCATCCGCTCCCGGGACCTCACCCTGGGGGGTGTCAAAAAGGTGAGTCCCATCCCCCAAACCTCCCCAAATCTGGGTCACTTTGTGCCCTTCCCTGGTTGGGGGTTTGGGGACCCTCAGAGTGGGGGGGTTGGGGTGCAGGGGGGGCCTGTTTTGTGTGACTTGTCCCTCCCTCTGCTCTCTCGCCTGCAGAAAACCTTCACCCCCAACATAATCAGCAGGAAGATCAAGGAGGAGTGAGTAGCGTGGGAAGCGTTTTTTTTGGGGGGAAGTGGGGTTGGATTTGGGGGGCACAAGGGTGGTTTGGGGTCTGGAGCGTCTCCCTGATGAGAGACTGTGGGAAAAACCGTGCCCTGGGAGGGGCGTGGTGGCAGGGGTGGGGGTGACCTGCCCCCTGCCTGCTCCACAGGCCCCGGGAGGATGTTTCTGTCAAGAAGGAGAAGAAGGAGCGGGACCGGCAGCGCGACGGGCACGGCCGGGGCCGGGGCCGGCCCGAGGTCATCCAGTCCCACTCCATCTTCGAGCAGGGACCCGCTGAGATGATGAAGAAGAAGGGTAAGGGGGGCTGCCCCCGCTCTTTTGGGGGGTTTGAGGGCGTGCCAGGGGGTCACCCAGGGCTGCTCCCCTCTCCCAGCAGGCTCCTGGGACAAGACCGTGGACGTGCCCGACTTCGGCCCTTCCCACATCATCAACATCAAGAAGGAGAAGAGGGAGACGGACGAGGAGACGAAGCAGATCCTGCGGATGCTGCAGAAGGATGACGTGCGTGGGCTCTCGGGTGGGGGGGTGGCCCTGGTGCCCCCAGGCTGGCACTGAGCGTCCCCACTGCTGTCCCCGCAGTTCCTCGATGACCCGGGGCTCAGGAACGACATCAGGAACAAGCCAGTGCAGCTCCCGCTGGCCCACTCGGGGTGGCTCTTCAAGGAGGAGGGGGCGGAGCAGGAGGACTCCCAGCCGTGGCTGCCGGGATCCAGGGAGGAGAGGATGGAGCTGGACCCGCCAGCGGTGAAAGGTGGGCTGGGGCTGGGGGGACACACAGTGGGGACGGGCTGGGGGAGCCCCTTCTTGTTCCCCTGTGTGCCCACCACCCACCCACCCACTGTGCAGTGAAAGAGGAGCCATGTGAGGACGAGCCCAAGCTGTCCCAGCCCAAGGGCCCGCCCGGGTTCCCCCGGGACGTGCCGGTGGCGGAGCTGCTGCAGAGGCTGAGCCTGCAGGCCGAGGAGGAGCTGCTGTTCCTGCAGCTGCCCGACACCCTGCCCGGGCAGCCCCCCACCCACGACTCCAAACCCATCAAATCCGAGCTGCACAACGAGGACGGGCAGGTGGTGGTGGTGAAGCAGGAGAAGAGCCAGGTGGGGGCTCGGAGAGGGAGGGGTGGGGTAGGGGGTGATTTCAGGCCCCCCCCATCCTGTGGTGCCGTTCCCCCGTGTCCCACGCTGTCCTTTCCCGTGGGGGCCGTGGCAGGAGGCGAAGCAGGCGGAGAACACGTGCACCCTGGCCGACCTCCCCGAGGGGCAGGTGGGGAAGCTGCTCATCCGAAAGTCGGGGAAGGTGCAGCTGGTGCTGGGCAAGGTGACCCTGGACGTGACCATGGGCACCCCCTGCTCCTTCCTGCAGGTATGGGGGGCACCCCAAGATAACCCCCCTGGAGGGGCGTTGTGCTGCCTGTCCCTGTGACAGTGCTGGGTCCTGCTGGTCCCCTCTGGGGGCTCCTCCAGGCTCTTCCCCCTTCAGCAGAGACCCCCTCCACCCTTATCCCAGGGGATTCCCATGGGATTGGGCCGCTCAGGGGTGTCTCTCCCCTCTGGAACAGGAGCTGGTGTCCGTCGGCATCGGGGACAACCGGACGGGCGAGATGATCGTCCTGGGCCACGTGAGGCACAAGCTGGTGTGTTCCCCGGATTTCGAGGCTCTCCTGGAGCACAGGCACCGGTAGCCGAGGGATTCCCAGCCTCCCCAGCCCGTGGGGACAGTCCCTGCGCGCCCTCAGCCCCCCCTAGATGTGCCTTTGGGGTGTGGGGAGGGGTCTTGTGCAGCTCTGACCCCCTCCCAGCCCCGCGGGGGGTCCGGGGTGTCCCCCCCAAAGCTGCTGCTTTCCCCCTCCCTGTGCCAAAGGGGGATTTTTGGGTGTGTGGGACTGTGGGGTGTCCCCCCACCTCAGCTCCCTGGTGGCTGTGGATGCACTGGTGGGGGCGGGACACACGTCAGGGGGGAGGAACATGGAATAAAACATGGAATAAAACATGGAATAAAATGTCTTTTCCCCCTGTGTGGAGCTGCTCGGGTTTGTTCTGGACGTCTGCTTGGCAGGGGGGGTGGGACTCTCCTGCTCCCACCCTGTCCCATCCTAACCCCCACATCCCCATCCCATTTTACTCCCCCAGTTCCCTCTTATCCTGCCCCATCCATTTTACATCCCATCCCATCTCCTCTGTCCCATCCCATTTTACCTCCCCAAATCCATATTATCCCATCCCATTTTACCCCTCCAATTCCATATTATCCCATCCCACCCCATCCCATTTTGCCCCCCCAATTCCATATTATCCCACCCCATCCCATTTTACCCTTCCCAATTCCATATTATCCCATCCCACCCCATCCCATTTTACCCCCATTCCAAATTTTCCCATCCTGCCCGCCCCTCCGCCTCTCTGGCCCCGCCCTCCCCTTCCGCCCCGCCCACCCGCACATGACCCCGCCCCCTCGCTCTGCCCCGCCCTCAACGCTGCCCAATCAGCGTCGCGTCCGCTCCGGAGGGGCGTGGCGCGGCGCGGCGCGCGTGCGGGGCGCGCCCGGACAGGGCGGCCGCAGGAGCGGACGCGGCCATGGCCCCCCGCCCCCGTCCCGCGGCCCCGGGCCCTGCCCGACCCCCGGGCCCTGCCCGGCCCCCGCCGCCTTCCCCGGCCGGGCGCGGGGGCTCCGCGGCGTCGCGGCCCTCGCCCAGCGCCCCTCCGCGCCCGCCGCGCCGTCGCCGCTGACCGCGCTGTTCCGCGGGCTGGGCTTGGGCGAGCGGCCACGCGAGCGGCCCCTGGGTAGGGAGCAGGGGCGTGAGGGAGGTGCGGAGCGGGGGAGGTTTAGGGGCTGCCCCTCCAAGCCCACCGTGGCCGCTCGTCCCGCAGGTCGCGGCGGCGCTGGCGATGGGAAGGCTCTGGCGCAGCCCGGCCCTGCGCAGGAGGAGGAGGAGGACAAGGAGAAGGGGGCAGCGCTGGTGGCGCTCCCCACGCGTGGGCAGTGAGTCCCCGCCCCGGCACCCCAACCCCCTAGAACCTCAACGCCCACCTTGTCCTGGACTCCGCTTACCTCCATCCCTTCGTTCCCCTCCATCTTCCCGATCCCCTCTGTCCTCTTCTGTCTTCCCCTCCTACCCTTTCCCTGAGCCCTTCCAGCGGCTCCATCACCCACGCTGGTGACAGGGGCAGGGGGACCCTCTAGCAGTGACACCCCTGGTGTGGTCACCCCCTTCCCGCCCCACTCCCTCGGGTCCACATTGCCAGGGCCACCTCTGTGTTTTGTCCCCAAAACCGGTGTCTTTTGAGCCACCCCCCACCCCGGCTCAGGCTGGTGCAGGGCAGGAGTAGGGGGGGATCTCGGGGGACACCTGGACACCCCCAGCGTGTCCCCAGTGTGTCCCCAGAGTGTCAGGGCTTACTCCTGTCACAGGATCCTGTGGCAAGGCCGAGGGGACGCGCTGCCCACCCGCCCCGGAGGAGCCGCTGCCGTGCCCACCCCGAGCCTGCTCAGCCCCCTGCGCCCTCCTAGGAGCCCCCAGCCGTGAGTGGTGGCCCCAGCCCCGCGTTTTGGGGGGGTACAGGTGCTACTGGGCTGCCGCTGACCCCACATCCCTCCCAGGGCCCCCCGGCGGCGAAGGGAACCGCTGTCCCCATGGGGCTGAACTTGGTGAAGATCCACTGCCAGAACGAAGCTGTCTACCAGTACCACGTGACCTTCAGGTATTGGGGGGTGTCAGTGGGGGTCCCCCACAGCCCCCCACAGCCCCTCGACAAGGGGGTGTCCCCAGGCAGAGCCCTCCGTGACCCGAGTGCCGCGAGATGGGGCGGCCGGCACAGCAAAGCAAAGATCTCCGGGTTTTCCCCTCTTGGTGGAGGTTCTGAGGGGGGCTGAGCAGGGTGTGGGGTGGGGACAGGGGAGGGAGAGAAGGCCCTGTGTGTCCCCAGCCCCGAGGTGGAGTGCAGGAGCGCACGCTTTGCCATGCTGAAGGAGCAGCACACCGTCACGGGGACGTGCTGGCCTTCGATGGCTCCATCCTCTTCCTGCCCATCCAGATTTCCAAGGTAAGGGGGTTCTTGTCTTAACCCCCCTGCCCCCCAGGCCTCCAACCCTTGTTTTGGGTGGGAGAACTCCCTCCCCTCTTGCCCCACAGGTCAGTGTGAAGGCTCAGAGGAAGGGCGACGGGGAGGAGGTTTCCATCACCATCCAGATGACCAAGGTCCTGGAGGCCAGCTCGGATCTCTGCATCCCCTTTTACAACGTGGTTTTCCGGCGGTGAGAGACCAAGGAGATCCTCCCCCTCCTCCTCCTCCTTGTCCTCCTCCTCCTCCTCCTGCCTGCCAGGCCTGATCCAGTCCTACTTTCCCTGCTTTTCCTCCCTTAGGGTGATGAAAATCTTAGACATGAGCCTGGTTGGGAGACATTTCTTTGAGCCTGCCCACGCCACCACCTTGCATAAACACGGGTGGGTGCCAGGGACATCCCTGTTTCCCCGGCAGCCTGGAAATTGGGAAGTTTTCCCAGGTCAGCTCTGGCTGGCCTGACCTGGGAGTGGCTGTTTTCCGAAGCTGGGAGCCGGGAAACAAATCCCTGTGTGTTTTGGGTGTTCCTTGGCACCTGGGGTGGCTCCGGGTTAACCCAGGCGCTGTTGGGCATCTTTCCCTGTGGACACAGCCTCCAAATTTGGCCGGGATATGCCGTCAGCATCCGGAAGAAGGACGGCGGGCTCTTCCTCATGGTGGATTCCATCCACAAAATCATCCGCAACGAGTCTGTCCTGAGTGTGATGTAAGAGCACCGGGAAAGAATCCCGGGAGGCTTCAGGGACGGGGAGGGTGTCTTATTTTTGGGATGGCACGGGCAGGCAGCATTCCAGGGGCCGTGTGCTCCTCCTTCCCCAGGCAGAAAATCCACTCCCAGAGCCAGAAGATGTTCCAGGACGAGTGCACCAAGGAGCTGGTGGGCAGCGTGGTCATCACCCGCTACAACAACCGCACCTACCGCGTCGACGACATCGACTGGGACAGGACCCCCAGGGACACTTTCACCCTGGCCAGTGGGGAGCAAATCACCTTCGTGGAGTACTACAGGTAAGGAGGGATCGTCCCCTGGGATTGGGAAGGCCTCGATGCCCGGCACAGGGCTTGCAGGAGCAGGAAGGTCTCGCCCGATGCCGTGTCCCTGCCCATGGTAGGGGGTTGGAAATGGGTGGTTTTTAAGGTCCCTTCCAACCCAAACCATTCCAGGATTCCATGATTATGCTGGTTTTTGTTTTTTTTTTCCAGCAAAGCTTATGGGATCACCATCAGGGATCTGGACCAGCCGCTGCTTGTCCACAGGCCCAAGGAAAAACAGACAGCAGAGGGGAAGGTGAGCTGGGCATGGGGATCCACACTCTGTCCTGGGCTCCTGGGAAGGGCAGGGACTCCCAGCCCCTGGAATGCTGACGGTGCCTGTCCCCTCTGCAGCGTCAGCTGGACATGGTGGTGCTGGTGCCAGAGCTCAGCTTCCTGACAGGGCTCTCTGACCTGCAGAAGAACAGCCGGACGGTGAAGGTCAGAGCCTGTCCCATCCCACCCTCCCTGCTTTTGCCCAGCTGGCAGTGCCCGGTTTGGGGAGCTGCTGGGGGGTTGCTCCAAGCCCCCCCCATTGCAGCTGGGGGCTGGCCCTGCAGGAGGTGATGTGGGAGATGATGCAGAGCCCCAGGAAGCACTACACGCGCCTCACCAGCCTCCTGCAGCAGATCCGGGACAGCCCGGAGGCCTCCCGGGAGCTGGAATGCTGGGGGCTGCACCTGGACACGGATATCTGCAGGGTAAGACTCCCAGGGGAGTGCCAGGCTCCCCTGCCTTCCCCACTGGGGATGGGGGCAGCTCTGGATTCCTGCTCTGTCCAGACCCAGGGTCACATCCTGCCCTTGGAGCGGATCAACCTCCGGCACCGCTCCTTCTTCCCCGAGGAGGACCTGAGCTGGCACAGGGAGGTGACGAAGGAGATGTCTATCTCGGCGGTGAGCCCACCACGGGAACAGCCTGCCCTTGTCCGGGAGCTGGGATGGGTTTTCCTGAGCGCTGGCATTTCAGGCTGAGCTGCCTCCAGCTCAAACCCTTCCCTTGTTTATGTTGGATTTGAGCTTCTGCCTGCTTTTCCAAACTGAGTTGGAGGTATGTGGTGGGTGGTGCCTGCTTTCCCGCCTCCTCCCAGGCTGGAGGAAGGCTTTCAGATGCAGGAATTCCATGATGTGTGCTCCTGAGGTTCCCCTGGGCTGCTTTCCCTCTCCCAAATTCCCCCTGTCACCCAGGTTCCAGTTTCCTGAATTCCCCTGTGTGCTTCAGGTTCCTCTTGGGCCACTTTCCCAAATTCCCCTCTGTGCTCCATGTCCCTCTCGGGCCACTTCCCCTCTCCCAAATGGGATTGTGCCACAGGGCTCGGGGGCTGCCCCCAAAACACGTCCCGTCCTCGCTTCCCTTCCCAGATCTCTATGAATTCCTGGCTCCTGGTGTATCCCAGGCGGCTGCAGCAGCTGGCCAAGGACCTGCTGGTAGCCATGAGGAGCGCCTGTGGAGCCGTGGGAATGCAGGTGGGACAGCCCACGGTGCAGGAGCTGCGGGATGAGCGCATCGAGTCCTACGTCAAGGGCATCCGGAGCGGTTTGGGAAGCCAGGTGAGGAAGGGGGGGACGTTCCCAGGGGATCACCAGACAGGTGGGAACATCACCCCTGGAGGTGTCCAAAAACCACGTGGGAACAATGGTGGCGGCCTCAGTGGTCTCGGAGGGCTTTTCCAACCCCAACAATTCCATGATTCCGGGCAGGAGAAGGTGCAGCTGCTCGTGTGCATCACCCCCCGCAACCGGGACGACGTGTACAGAGCCATCAAGAAGCTGTGCTGTGTCCAGGACCCTGTGCCCTCCCAGGTGGGCCCAGCAGGGTGGGACTGCCATTCCCGGGAAGCTCTGAGTGCCTCCAGCCTCGCTTTTCCCTGTGTTTTTCCGCCCCGTAGGTCATCAACGCGCAGTCCCTCATGGGCCATCCGGCCAAGATCAGGAGCGTGGTGCAGAAAGTTCTGCTGCAGATCAACTGCAAGCTGGGCGGGCAGCTCTGGGGGGTCGACATCCCGCTGGTAAGGCAGGAAAACCCCTGGAAAAGGCCTGGGATGAGCTTGGAAGCTCTGAGGGGGTAAATTATTGTGGTCGTGGGCTTCCCTTGCCGGCTGCAGAATTGGGGGTTGGACTCTCTTTGGAGCATGGGAGGGGTCCAAGCCTGGAGGTGTCTTGGGTTATCCCCAAATCCCACCTGGCTGGTTTTTCCCCCCCTTTTTTTCCCCAGAAACAGCTGATGGTTGTTGGCATGGATGTCCACCACAGCCGCAGCCAAGGCATGCGCTCTGTCATCGGCTTCGTGGCCAGCATGAACCAGTATGTGGAGCCCCAGGAGCAGGGAATGTGTTCCTCCTGCTCTGCCCTGGGAATCCCCCAGGATTCCACCCCAAAATCCCCTTCCTTGGGTGGGAAGGGGGGTGGGAGGACGATGCTTTTCCCGACCTGCAAGGTCTTCCACGGCTGGGAAAGAGGGCTGGGAATGCTGAGCCAGGGTTGTGTAACGCCTCGGTGGACTTCGCCTGATGATGGGTGGGGGGGTTTTTCCTGGTGCTCATTCCCGTTCCATCCCCAGCATCCTCACCAAGTGGTATTCCAAGGTGGTTTTCCAGATGCCCCAGCAGGAGATCGCTGACAGCCTCCGGCTCTGCCTCTCCCAGGCCCTCAAGCGCTTCTACGAGGTGAGGCCAACAAATAGTTTGATATTCCCCTCAGAACGAGGGGAAAACACCCCAAAACTGCCCGTCTGGAGCTGGCAAAGCTCCCCAGCAGCCTTTGGACTGGATGTGGGGCTGGGATGGCTCATCCTTATCTCGGGAACGTGCGAGCCGGCCTCGGGGATGAGTTTGCACACAGGGAAGTGCCACGTTCCACCTCTGTCAGCACTGAACGGCTCAGCCCTGGCCCTTGTCCCCACAGCGTGAGAAAAACAGCCTGGGACGAGGGCCAGGAGAAATCCCAGCACTTGGGGTTTGCCCGGAGAAGCTGTGGCTGCCCCATCCCTGGAAGTGTCCCAGACTGGATTGGAGCAACCTGGGATGGTGGGAGGTGACCCTGCCCGTGGAACTGGGTGATTTTAAGGTCCCTTCCCACCCAGACCATTCTGGAATTCTGTGATCAGCACAAACACATCTCTGTGCCCCGCCAGCCCTCCCCAAAACCCACTCTGAGCTGCATTTTGGGGATGCCGAGCATCGTCAGGGGCTCCGCGGGTGGTGGGTTGGGTCCTGATCTCCATCCCTGGACAATCAGCAAACATCTCCTGGCCAGGGGACGTTTTCCCACCAATCCTGTGTATATTGGGGGTGATAAATCAGCAAACTCTCCCCGTTTTTGTGTGTTTCCCCCCACCCCCAGTTGAACCACTCGCTGCCCATGAAGATCGTGGTGTATCGGGACGGGGTGTCCGACTCCCAGCTCGACACGGTGCTCAAATATGAGGTGCCCCAGATGCAGAAGAGCTTCAACACCTTCGAGAACTACCAGCCCAGCCTGGTGGTCGTGGTGGTGCAGAAGCAAATCAGCACCAACTTCTACAGCCTGACAGGAGAGGAGTTCACGTCCCCCCCGCCCGGCACCGTCCTCGACCACACCATCACCACCTCGGGCTGGTGAGCGGCACCTCTGGGGCTGGGGGAGGTGAATAAGAGGGGGAAAAACACCCTGGGAGGGGAGAGAAAACCACCCCGGGGTGTGAAAAAATCCAGGATGTGAAAAAAATGGTGGTAAAAATCACCCCAGGGTGCAAAAAAAACCCCACAGGTCTGGGGTTCAGCAAAAAAAAAAAAAAAAAAAAGAAATAGGGGTGTAAAAAGCCCTTTCCTCCCCTCCAAAACCAGGGAGGATTTCTTCCTGCTGTCCCACAGCTCCCGGCAGGGCTGCAGCATTCCCACGCGCTACATCTGCATGTGGAACACGGCCAACCTGAGCCACGAGCACATCCAGAGGTAAGGGGGGGGCCCAGACCCCCCAAAAATCCTCCAGAGGGAAGGGCAGGGGTCCCAGAGCTCCCCCCCAAATCTGCAGAGGTAAGGGAGGGGGTTTGGACCCCCCATATCCTACAGGCCCTCAAAATCCTGCAGAGGGAAGATCAGTTTGGTTTCAGTGTGAGGACCCCCCAAACTCGTGGGGGTTTTTTGGGTCAATCAGCCCCCTGGAGCGGGCAGGGGGTGCAGCAGGGGGCTGTGCAGGCAACTGGGCTGAACCTGCTGGATGAACTGGGTGAACTGGGAGGAGGTGGATGAGGGAGAGGAGGCGGATCCCCTCCCATCATACCCGATGGCAGAGAGGTGACAGAGGGCACACTGTGTCACCCCGGGGTGGCCCAACCTTTGCCTCCTTCCAGCAGGAAGAAAACCCCCTGTGTGGGAGCGGGTTTAGCCTCTGGGAGTGAATCCATGCCCCTGGGAATCACCAAATCCCCCTCTTTTCCCCCCCTTCCCTGTCCCCAGGTTGACCTTCAAGCTGTGCCACCTGTACTGGAACTGGCCGGGCACCATCCGTGTGCCAGCTCCCTGCAAATACGCCCACAAGCTGGCATTCCTGGTGGGCCAGGTGCTGCACCACGAGCCCAGCGCCCACCTCAGCGAGCAGCTCTTCTTCCTCTAGGGCCGCTGGGCGCAGGAAAACCGGGATTGCACCCGGAATTCCGCTCCCCAGCCGCCCTCCTGGGGGAATCCTCCCCGATCCCCCTGTTCTGTTGCTAATTTATTCCCGTTATTTATTGGTTTAAAGGGTTGTAGTGCTGGTTTAAAGGGGGATGGGAAGCGTCCCTGGGCTGGGTTTATCTCCACGGGGATGAACCCAAAGGAATATCCCCCCACCAAGTTTTCCAGTCCTCCCAGTTAAAGGGGGTTGAGTTAACGAGCCCCCAAAGGTGCTGCTGCTCCCACGGCTCATCCCTGTGCAGGTGCTGATGTAAATCCCAAAGGTTTGGGGGATTTTTGTTTTCTCCCCCTGGTTTTTGAGTTCCCACGGAGATTTCGAGTTTTCCTGGGTGGTTTTGTGCTTTTTTTTTCCTTCCAAGGTGCTGTTGAACAAACCAGCCCTGGTTTGGCTGGTTCTCCTGTCCTTGAGGAGTCACTGGTTTCTCAAGGAGAATCCACTGTGGATTCGGGTCATTATTCCAAGAGGAAAGTTTTCGAGTTCCCACCTTTTTCAGGTGGGTTTTTTTTTGCCTTAGTCAGATGTTTGGGACCTTTGAGGCTGGGGCTGTGGAAGGGCTGCGAGACTACAAAAAAAACACCCTAAAACACCCCAAAATACATGGATTTTGCCTCAAAGCCCACCTTCTGCATCCCCTGCAGGGATGGGGGTCCAGCAGGACCCTCCTCCCAGCCTCTCCCCTGCCTTTTAAATGCCATAAAAGTTGGAATTCCTTAATATTTTTGTCTTTGCTGTAACCGGTTTTTGATTCTTTGCAATAAAACTGTTGCTGGCAGCTGCTCCTTCTTGGAGTGGGTGGGTGGGTGACAGGGGTGGGTCATTCCCCCTCATTCCCAGGGGATCCCAGGATGGAGAGGGGACACAGAAGGGGGGGGGGTCACAGCAGTGCTGTCACCCTGGTTAATCATTGATCCCTTTATCCCTGTTTATTTGCCGGTCCTGGCGGACTTTGGCAGCCCTGGTGCGGCCTGGGTTGGGATTTGGGAGCAAAACTTGGCTCGGGGGAGGGCTGGGGGTGCTGGGACAAAGTGGGGGTGTAGGATGGGGGGATGTCCCTGCTCTTCCTGGCCTCCCATCACGCAGTTTTTATATCCCAGCACTGCCTTGTCCCTGCTCCCTGGCACAGGGAGAGGAGCCAGGACCAGCCCTGGCTGCCAGGCTGGCAGGATTTGTCCCCCCCAAATCCCCCCAGCGCTTCCAAGGGGGTCCCTGGAGTGCCCTGTCCCCCAGGGTGGGGGCTGTTCGCTGCTGTGTCCCCTGGGGAAGGGGCTGAGGGATGTCCTGTGCCCCCAAAGGGTGTTTGGGAGGAGTCTGAGGGATGTTCTATGACCCCCAGGGTTACAGAGCCCCCCCCGTGCCTCTGAGGGATGTTGGGGGGAGGGTCCTTGAGATGCCCTGTGCCACTCAAGGGACATTTTGGGGGTTCCATGTGGTGCCCTGTGCCCCCCGGGGTGGGGTTTTGTGTTGGTTTTGGGTGGGTTTGGGGGGGGCCCCGTTGCCCCCAAGTGTCGTTTTAAGAGGGTTCTGGGGGGGGTCCCTGTGCCCCCAGATGTGTTTTTGGAGGGGGTCCCAGGTGTGTTTTTGGGTGGGTTTTGGGGGGTGCCAGGTGTGTTTTGGGGTGTTTTTTGGGGGTCCCAGGTGTTTGGGTGGTTTTGGGGTTTGGGTGTTTAGGGGGTGCCAGGTGTGTTTTGGGGTGTTTTTTGGGGTGTCCCGGGTGTGTTTTTTGGGTGGGTTTTGGGGCGGTTTTGGGTCTTTTTTGGGGCGTTTTTTGGGTGTTTTTTGGTGGTGTTTTTGGGTGTGTTTTGGGGTGTTTTTGGGTGTTTTTTGGGTGTTTTTTTGGGTTGTTTCGGGGGTCCCGCTCCCCAAACCCCGCGGGGGGGCGTGGCCATGCCCTCAGGGGGCGTGTCCCTTGTGTCCGCCAGCCAATGGGGGCGCTCCCCGTGCCCGCGCGCCGAGCGTGCGCCCTGCGCGGCTCCGCGCGAGCGGCGGCGGGACCGGGATCGGGATCGGGATCAGGATCGGGATCGGGAGCGGAGGTAGAACCGGGATGGGCCGGGGTGGACCGCGCCGGGATGGGCCGGGGAACGACGCCACGGGACGAGGGGCCGGCTGCGGGGGACGCGGCCCCGCGGGGGAGCGCGCTGGGGCCGGCCCCGAGCCCCGGATGGCGATGGGGATGGGGGGAGAGCAGGATCCCTGCAGGATGCGGGGAAGGATGCGGGGAAGGATGCGGGAGAACGGGTTTGGGGTGTAGGAGCGGGCCTGAGGCCTCGAGGCAGCGTGGGGGGTCGCTTTGAGGCTGCCGGCGGGGTCTGGGGCAGGTGGAGGTGGGCTCTGGGGCGCAGGACGCTGTTATTGGGACGCAGGACCCAGTTTTGGGACGCAGGACGCTGCTGTGGGATCTGGCACCACCAGTGCAAGCTCTGGGGCCAGGCAGGGGGGCAGAAGGGCCGGGCATGGGGACTGGGGTGGGATGGGGCAGGGATTGGGGGGCAGCAGCAGCAACTCCAGCACGGGGGGCTCTGGGCTGGACCGGGGGTCCGTGTAGGGTGGGATGGCCGGGATATTTCCCTGTTTGCTGCCCGCCTGCCCGCCCGGGGGCCTGCGGGGAGAGGTCACGGGGAGAGGAAGGGACGAGACACTGCCCGGAGGCTCCAGAGGGGCAGAGTGGGGTCCGCTAACCGGGAAACGTGGCCCCGGGACGTGCCCCAGGGCATGGAAACCCTCCTGGAAACCCTGCTGCCCGCGGGACACGTGGAGCGGCGTTTGCTCCGGAAGGAGCTCGGCCCCGCCGGGAGCGGGAGCGGGATTCGTGCCCGTGCGGTTTTTTGGGAGCCCCCGGTGCCCCCCTTCCCCTTCCAGCCTTGCGCCGGCGAGCGGGATTTCGGGAAGAGCTGGCGCGGGGCTGACGTCGCCGGGGTCACGGCTTTGCCAGCGGTTCTTATTCCCGGCGTCACCTTCCCGCTGTTGGATCGATGATCGCTGGGAAGTGAAGCCCGGGGAGATGGGAAAGGACCGGCGTGGCCTCGGGAGCTCTTGTGCTGCCGTGGCATCGCTCCCGGGCACATCCCTCGCCGGGCATCCGTCCCTTCCCGTGGCAGCGGTTTGTCCCCGTGCCCCATCCCGCAGGGAGATAAAGTAGGTCAGGCGCTGGCTCCGGGCTCCGGGAGCGGATCCCGGCGGGAGGACGCCCTTGGAGGTAGCGGGCAGGAGGTTGGGGAAGCTCGGCGGGTGGGGTGCCGAGGGGCCGCGCTCCGGGGTGTTCGCTGCACGCCCCCTTGGATGCCCCGGGATGCGGGGATGGATGGATGGATGGATGGATGTGTCTGGCACCCTCCCGCCTTGCCCTGCGCTGCCCGTGGCTTTCGGGGGGTCGGAGCCCCTCGGGATGTCCCTCTTTGGGCCCCTCCGCAGGGGCGGCTCCTCCACCTCGTTTTTGCCCTAAAACGGAGCGAGCCCGTGCGGCTCCGGCCACTGCCCGGCGCTTCCTGCCTTTCCTTTGGCAGCTGGTGGGAGAGAAGTTGAGGTCCGGGTTTCCACCCTGGGTGTATCCGGCTCAGCCCGGCTTCGGGAGAAACCCCCGGGAGCGATTTTGGCACCCGGCGAGGGCTGCGTGCCTTGGCACGGGCCGGGACAAGGGGTGTGCGGCCCGGCGGGATGGCTCCGGGCGGGATCAGGGATATGGGGAGCGCTCGGCTGGCACGGGCAGGGAAGGGCATCCTGTGTCCCCCGTCCCGGGACGTGCGGCCACTGGGACAGACCTTTGGCACCGTGGGCTGTGTGCCAGCGCCTGTGGAGGTCACCGGCCACCAGGATGTCCCGTGTAGCCCAGGAGGACCTACCTGGATGGGTGGGTTGGGACAGGGAGGAAGAAGCAGAGGAAGGGTCTGGGTTCCCTTAGGAACTCCCCGCTCTGCACCAGCACCCCTCTGGATGAGCTCCCTTCCCACATTTTGGGAGGAGAAGGGTTAAGCCAAAACATCCAAGCTAAGCTGTGGCAGGAGGAGGCTAAAACCTCTCCACAACAAAGCTCACAAGGTGGTGGTAAGCTGGTAAAACCTGTGGGAATGTGGGAGCCTTCAGAGGGGGAACGGGGTCCTGGATGGGGAGCAGGGTCCTGGGTGGGGAGCGGGGTCCTCCCGTGCCCCTTTCCCTCGCAATCCTGGCCCCAGGTTATTTTTGGAACAATTGCTTGGCCGGGCTTCAAAAATGTCCTGGGCTCGTTTTTGGAGGAGACTGGAGCCTGCAAGCTGTCAGCACGGGCTGTGGGGTGTCCCAGGGAGATCCGGGAGCCCCCAGCAAGGGGAACCAGGAGGCAGCAGGTGCCTGGAGCCCTGCACTGGGATCAGGGTGGCTGTTGCGTTTACAGAGGCAGAGGACTGTTGTTCTCTCCTTGTCCTTGTGAATCCCGAGTTTGCCGCCCACCTCTCAGTGTAGTTTTCCCAGGAAGGCAGCCCAGGCCTTTCTCCAGCCTCTCGGGTGCCTCCCACAGTGGACGTGCAGGTCGTGCCTGGCTTCTCTTCCCCCCCACACCTCAATCTCCCTGAGCCCCTTCCTTTGCACCCCGGGTTTGTGCCACCCCACTTTTATTGATCCCCGGCGGGTATGAAAGGAGCAGAGAGGGCAAGGATTGACTCTGGGCAAACACTATAAAGGCACCTGCAGTTGGAGCCGGGGAAGGAGCCGGTTCATGGTAATTATCCGGGTTAAAATATAACCCCGTGAAAATTCCACCTCTGTCCTCTGGGCTCCCTCGTCCTCCAAGTGCCACCGTCCAGGTCCTGGAGGGATTTGTGTCCCATTCCTGGTGACACACTGGGGGGGACCCACGCGTGGCTGGGAGCTGGAGCGTGACTCCTCACCCCACGGAGAGCTGGATTTGAGGCTGGCAGAGGCACAAGCCCTGCCTGCTTCCCACCTCCCGCTGCTCTTCCCAGGGTCCCGAGGCGCTGCGGAGCTGGAGAACCCCCGGGAGCCGTGTCCTAGCAGCCCCCCACGGTGAGCAGGGGGTGACTCTGAGAAGTGGGTGGTCTTGTGTACAAGTCCTCCCCTCAGGATCTGGGTGCTCCCAGCACTGCGTCCCCTTTTCCCCGAGGAAGAAATCTGCCGTGTCCCGGCGGAGGAGCGGCGGTCGGAGCGCTGGGAGTGCCGAAGCCAACAGCAGTGTGTGTGTTTTCCCTCCCAGCATCCCAGAGGCACCATGATCCCCGGCATGGGCCCCCGGAGCTGCTGCCTGCTCCTGCTGCTCTGCCTCCTTCCCTGCCCGCGGGTCTGGGCGAGCAGGGACAGCCCGGGAGTCTCTGCAGCCTCCTTCCTGCAGGATCTGCTCCAGCGCTATGGAAAGAGCCAGACCTTGAGCCTGAAGCAGCTCAAGACCCTGTTGAACCGCCTGGATGTGGGAGTGGGACGTGCCAACGTCTCCCAGTCACCCCAGCAGCGCCTGAACCTCTCCCGGGTAAGGCCCCAAAACCTCTCTGCGTGCCCCAAAACCTCCCCGAGGAGCGGCGGGAATCTCAAGGCACGTTCCTGTTCCCTTCCCTTCCCCAGTGCTTCAGCTCCGTGGAGCTTTTTGCCATCCACAACCTGAGCGAGGACTCTGCCGTGGGGCACAGGGAGTTCAAGGAGTTCTGCCCCACCATCCTGCAGCAGCTGGAGTCGAGGGCGTGCGCCTCCGAAAACCTGGAAAATGAGGAAAATGAGCAGACAGAGGAGGGCAGACCCAGCTCTGCTGAAGGTAAGAGGGGAGCTGGAGGGGCACAGGCACTGCCCAGGCCTGGGCATGGAGCTCAGGAGCAATGAGGCACCCCAGGAGCTCCAGCACAGGTGGTTCCCGCTCCTGGGAATTCCTTGCCTACAGCAGGCGGGAATCCCCACGGGTTTTCCTTGCTGTGGATTGTGCCGTGGTGTGGTTTTGCCGGGATAACCTCTGTGCCTCCGGGATAGCTGGATGAGGAGGGGACCTTACCACGAGTCCCTGTGGGTGGGAGGGGGTGGCCTGGCACTTGGAGGGACCCGCTGGCCTCCAGCCACCGGTGGATGCTCAACCAGCTCCCGCGTATCCCGCTCCTGACGATGCCCAAGGTCTTGGATCAGCTGCCCTGAGCACAGCCCTGGCTTCTCCCACACTGGGGCTGGCTCGGGAAAACCTTTATCCAGTAACCCAATGGCTTCATTCCCACTTTCCCTGCACCAAAAAAAACCCCCCAACGGTTTTGTCGCAGCCGAAACATCCGGAGCACGGGGAGAGAGACCCTCCGGTGCCACGTGGCCCGGGAACAGACCCGGAGCCAGCCCTTTCCCACCTGCCCGGCTCTGAGAGCCTCGGTAATGTCTGGCCCCTCTGGTTTCTTCTCGTTCTCCGCAGTGTGGGGCTTTGGTTTTCTCAGTGTGTCCATGATTAACGTGGCCTCCCTGCTCGGAGTCCTCATCGTGCCGTGCTCCGCCAAGGCCTTTTTCCGCCGGGTCCTCACGTTTTTCATCGCGCTGTCCATCGGCACGCTGCTCTCTAACGCGCTCCTCCAGCTCATCCCAGAGGTGCGGTAGAACGTCCCTGCCCTCTCCTCTGGCTCGGGGGGGAACAGTTTCCCCCCGGGTGCCCTCTCTGCCTCCAAACCCCGCCGAATCCGACTGGTCCCCGAGGCTCAGGGCTTGTCTAGGGGCTCCGCAGGGCTTTTCTCGCCCCCTCTGAGCACCAGGAAACCCTCTGGAGTGGACAGGGAGGCTGTGTCCGCCGGCCCTGCTGGCTCTGAGGAGTGGGAATGGGCTGGGAGAAGCTCTTTGCTCCTGGAGTGGCCGGGAGTAGCTGCTGCTACATCTACTACATCCCTTGGAGGGATGTGCTCAGCCGTGCTGGAGGCAGCACTAGAGGAAGAGTACTGCGAAACACAGGAAATATCCATATAAAAGGAGGAAATATCCATATAAAAGCATGGAGAACAGCACCGGCTTCCTCTGGAATCAACCAAATTTTACAAGTCCTTTATTGCCTTTATTTTATTTTGCCTCCCCTCTCCCTGATTTCCCAGCCCGATGCTCCCACAAGGGTTCAGGCTTCCCCGAGGTTTCCTGGTGCTCTGATGGGACCAACAAGAAATACTGCAAATTAATTGTGTTGTAATTGCCCAGTTCTGGAGTTGAATAAATCCACAGGGATTTGGACACCTTTGGAACACTGTCCAAGTGGCTCCTAGGAGCACAAGTGGCTCCTGGATAGACTTATGAGCTGGATCCAAGCTCCTGCACATCCAGCCTTAAAATTCCACTGGGTTTTTTCCCCCTGGCATTGCCAGGGCAACAGTCACCTCGCCTGTCTTGGCAGTGGGATGTTTTTTCCAAGGCTCCCTTTTCAACTCCAGAACCGCAACTTTTATTCGCTGGACATAAAAAGCAAGCGCCTCTAATTCCTGATTTTTCCAGGAATTGGAATGCCGTGCGTACGCTCCAACCCCGCCAGCGCTTGGAGCCTCCCGGCGTGGCTCGGGATGGGGATGGAGCGTACGGGGCGCTCAGGAAAGCCAGGCGCTCCGCGGCTCGGGAATGGCTCGTGGAGCGGAGCCGGGGGCTGGCCGGGACACGGCCCGGCTGCCAGAACCCGGCTGCGAGAGCTGCTCGCTCCAAGAATCCAACCCTTCCCAAAGAGCCATTCCTGAGGCTGCCCAGCGCCGGGGCCGAGCCAAGCCAAGATGAACAACAATCACTAATGAATGTCCTCTTCTCTCCCCTCCCTCCCTCCTCTCTCTGTCCTGTCGGTGTGGATTCCTTCCCTCCCCGTGCCCGCGCTGATCTCCTCCCTCGCCTTTCCCGTTTTCCCCCCCCGGGGTGGGTTTGGCTCTCACGCCTCAGTCTGGGGTTACGGTTTCCTCTGCGTGTCCGTCATCTCCCTGTGCTCGCTGGTGGGAGCCAGCGTGGTGCCCTTCATGAAGAAGACCTTTTACAAGCGGCTGCTCCTCTACTTCATAGCTCTGGCGATTGGAACTCTCTACTCCAACGCCCTCTTCCAGCTCATTCCCGAGGTAGGGAGAGGACTGGGTGGGTCTGTGCTTTTCTGTCTCTCTCTGGCTCTGTCTCGGGGGCTGTTTCTCTCTCTCTGGCTGGAGAAGGGGAAGGCGGCGTCGGAGGGGAGCCCAGAGCGAGGTACGGAGGCTGGAAGCCCCTTGGAGCTGGAGTTTGGGAGGGAATCACTCCAGGCGGAGCCCAGTCTGCTTCAAGCAGAGAATCACTGTTCTATTGCCTTTTCTGGCCCTGAAGGCAGGTCCTGTGTGCAGTGTGGAGCCTGATTTTGGCATCCCTGCCCCAGGGCAGGTGCTGGATCCAATGCCTTGGGGCACAGCCAGCTTGGAGGAGGGAATGAGGGAGATTAAAGTTGCACAAAGGCATTTTTTGAGCTTGTTCCCAAAGCAGCTGCTTCTTAGAGAGGTCAGAAAGTTGTGCCACCCTCCCACCGGGGCGAAAGGCAGATGAAGGACCCTGACAGGGACTGTTCCTCATCCTCTCCCATGACCCCTCCTGCCTGCAGGCGTTTGGATTCAACCCTCAGGAAGATAATTATGTTTCCAAATCCGCCGTGGTGTTCGGGGGCTTCTACCTCTTCTTCTTCACGGAGAAGGTCCTGAAGATGCTCCTGAAGCAGAAGGACCAGGTGAGGCTGAGCAGGGGCTGGTGGGGCAGTGGGGGCAGCAGGAGTGTTGGGGTGTCTGCCACCCCTGAATCCCCTGATCCCGCAGCACCACCACGGGCACAGCCACTACGGCCCCGAGGCTCTGCCCTCCAAGAAGGACCAGGAGGAGGGGGTCACGGAGAAGCTGCAGAACGGGGACCTGGACCACATGATCCCGCACCTCACCAGCGAGCTGGAGTGCAAGCCCCCCTCTGGGGATGAGAAGGCTGTGGTGGGCTCCCTCTCTGTCCAGGTGAGAGCCCTGTGTGGATTTAACGGGCGTGGGGGTGGTTTTCCTGGCTGGAGGAGGGATCAGCAGCCCCCCCCCGGAGCGTTGGGGTGCTGAGCCCCCACATTGGGGTGCTGTGGCAGGACCTGCAGGCCTCCCAGAGCGTGTGCTACTGGCTGAAGGAGGTGAGGTATTCCGACATCGGGACGCTGGCCTGGATGATCACCCTCAGCGACGGCCTCCACAACTTCATCGACGGGCTGGCCATCGGCGCCTCCTTCACCGTCTCCGTCTTCCAAGGGATCAGCACCTCCGTGGCCATCCTGTGCGAGGAGTTCCCACACGAGCTGGGTGTGTGAGTCCCTCGCATCTGCCCCCCGCTGCTCTCCCAGCCCCGCTCTCCCTGGAGTCCGGCCCTTTTCCCTGGAGAGAAAGGCAGATTTCGGGGTGGGATAAACGGTGAGGGGAAGGCGAGGCTGTAAACGGCACTGAGTAATCGCTGCTCTAAAAATAACGAGGTAATATGATGTCTGAGATTTAAATTTAGATGGAGACATCTGAAGGCAGAAGAAAAAAAAAAAAAAAAACCCAACCCAAAACCCTCGACACCTCGTTGGTTTGGGAGGCGGGGGAGGCAGGTTTGGGTGGGGAGGTCCGAATTTAGGGGCAGTGGTGTGGTTAGTGGAGGGGGGAGGTGGTTTTGGGTGTGAATAGCTGAATTTAGGGACAGTGGTGTGGTTAGTGGACGGGAGAGGCAGGTTTGGGTGTGAAGGGCTGAATTTAGGGGCAGTGGGGGAGCCCACGCTTGAGCTGGCACAGGATGTGATTTTTGGGGGTGTCCTGTGCGGGGGGAGGAGTTGGACTCAACGATCCTTTGTGTGTCCCTGCCAGCTGAGGATGCTCCACGATTTATAACCCAAAGTTCAAACCAGTGCCTCAGTGCTGTCCCAATGCTGCCAAGAGCCCTTCCCTTCTCACCCTCCTGTCCTTTTCTCCCGCAGGGGACTTTGTCATCCTGCTGAATGCTGGCATGACCATCCGTCAGGCTCTCTTCTTCAACTTCATCTCCGCCTGCTGCTGCTACGTGGGCCTGGCCTTCGGCATCGTGGCCGGCAGCCACTTCTCCGCCAACTGGATCTTTGCTCTGGCTGGAGGGATGTTCCTGTACATAGCTCTGGCTGACATGGTAAATCCTGAGCCTGGGAGCATGCTTGGGATCTTCCAGGGCTTTTTTTCCTAGGAAAAGCTCAGCCTGGAGGGTGGCAGGGCGGGGGGTTTTGCTCCGTCCCCTCGGCACACGCTTTGCTGTCTCCGCTTTGCTTTGCCTGGCTGAGTGAAATCAGTGGAATGGTGGGTGCTTTCTCCTGGGAAGAACAGGGCCTTTCGTGTCGCTGAGCCTTTGCCCACGCCTGTTTTTCCCTCCCAGTTCCCCGAGATGAACGAGGTGAGCCGGGAGGACGAGCAGAACGGCAGCGCCCTCATCACCTTCGCCATCCAGAACGCAGGGCTGCTCACCGGCTTCACCATCATGGTGCTGCTCACCATGTACTCTGGCCAGATCCAGATTGGGTAGGACCAGCCCGAGCTGCAGCCCTGATCCATTTTTTTCCAATTTTTTTTTTTTCTGGGGGGGGAGGGAAGGGGGTTTTTCTTTGGGTTTTTTTTCTTTCCTTTTCCTGCTGCAAGCAAATGACGGTACCTGTGCGGGCACTGACGTCACACTACAGAGGAGACATCGCTTTCAAAGCTGTTCCACAGACTTTATTTGGGTTCAAGACTGAGGGGAGGCTGAATCCCCCTTTCCCATAGGACTGACCTGACCGGAGGATCGTTTTTCCCATGTCATATCCCTTGTCTCCTCGCCTCTCCCAGGAAGGATGGAGTGGGGAGGCAGGAGCTGCTTCAGCCGTGCTCAGAGCATTCCCATGGGATGTCACGTGGTCCTGACCCTTTTGGGGTGGGGACAGATGGGGACAGACCCTTCTTGGAGCGTTCCCATGGGATGTGACGCTGTCCTGACCCCTTTGGGGGGTGTATGATGGGGATAGACCCTTCTTGGAGCGTTCCCCATGAGCCATCCCTCGGAGCTGTGCTCTCCAGGCACTGCTGAGGATGAGGAGGCTCGTGATGTGACCACCACCCGACTGGGTTTGCTCCGTTCCTGCCCTGGGAAGAGCGGGGTGAAGAGGGTTGGGATTTTAAAGCACATTTTGGGTGTCCACGCTCGGAGCAGAGGACACCAGGCCAGGTTGGAGTGACACGTGGGCTGCTGGGGGAAGCCCGGCAGGATGTCCTGACCCACCCTGTGCTGCTGGAAAGAGGGGCAAATCCCAACTCCTCCTGGTGAGAAGGGGATGAGAGCAGAGCCCTGCCTGGCCGTGGGCTCTCAGCACAGGGGTCTCTCCTCAGGCTGTGTCCAAGCCCATGGGGACACCCGGGAACAGCCACCGGTTTTTAAACACTGCTGAGGTTCAGGGTGGGGCGGGGAGGGGGGTGTTTTTAAAACAAAATACCAGACTGTGAACCTCTTTAGGTTGTGCTTTTCCAGCCTTAGGGAGTAGCCAGAGAAGGGTGTTCCAGGCACTTCCCAGCTCTGCCCCCCCGGGCTGGCTTTCCCCAGATTCACTACGTGAATTACTAATTATCATATTGATAATGTTGCCCACCCCACCCGTGTTGCTTGAGGTCCCCTCGCACCCCCTTTCCTCCCCCAAACCTCGTCCTGTACCTGGTGTGAGCTTGTGGCTGTGTGGATAAGCAGGAGTGGATTCAGGGAGCTTCCCTTGGACTGGGATGGAGGAGCAGTGCAGGAGCTTTGGGAGTTGTTTGTGCTGAGGGTGGCTTGTCAGGGAGTGTCTTCCCTCCCTCCCTGCCTGTGCAAGGGGTGTGTGTGACCATCCTGCCACCTCGGTGTGGTCCTGGAGCCGAGGATCCCACACCTTCCCTCCCCACCCTGCGGAAAGCAAAGCCAAGGGTGCACCAGGGATTTTTCCTCAGCCTCTGGCACAGGCTCAGCACCTCCAGCAGCGTTGTACCCTGGGTGGATGGCTGTAATCCCTGAATTCCCTTCATTCCCAGCTGGATGATGTTCTTCCTAAGCTCCTAACTGTTGTCACTGAGTCTCTGGACTCTGGCATTTCCAATATCCTTATGGATTGTCACCTCTGCTCTCACTGGCTTTCCTAGGCTGGCCTTAGTCCCCTCAGCTCCCCAAGGCTGTTGGCTCCTGCACCCCAAAACCTAAATACCAACTTGTCAAGGAGCAGGGAGCCTTTTTTGGGAGCTCCCTCCACCCAGAGGTACCACACGGTGATTCCTTCAAGGAGAGGTGGGCTCTGCTTCACCTCTTGTGCTGTCTTGTTTTGGGGATTGTCACCTTAAGTCACTTTTCCCTGCGGGACAGAGCAGCCCGGCCTGCCCTGGCTCAGTCACCTGTGCAGCACCTCACACTCACTCCCTGTGCTGCTAATCCAGGAGGAAAGTGCCATTGGAAACTCCTTTTCCCTGCTTGAGGGAGCTGCAGCCGCAGCCGAGCGACTCGATGTGGAAAATCTTGAGTCCTTGGACCGGCACACGCGCCCTCTCCTCTCTCCCAGGGAAGCATTTGGAAAACACCAGGTGGCTGGAGGGTTTCTGTGGGGCACCGATGGAAAAGCGGGGGAGGAAAGGGGGGAATCGGGGTGTTTGTCCCCTGTGGGCTGTCCTGGGAGGTCCCTGAGAGCTGGGAAGTGGCAGGAGCGATGCTGGGATTCCTGGGAGCTGGTGCAGCCCCTCGGCACAAGGTGGGAATCATGAATCCGTCGTCTTCTCGTTTCCAGTTTAACCCTGGTTTTTTTTTTTTGAGAAATCTTCAACCCAAAAATTTGGGGTGTGGGAGTGAAAACCCCCTCCCCCTGAGAAATAAGGCTCCCCCTCCATTCCCATTCCCAGCTAGACAGGCTGGAACCTGCCAGCAGGGAAGGGATGGGGCAGGGAGGAGGATGAGGAGGGAAAACCCACCCAAATCGAGGCTCGTTAGGGATTTTGATCCGTGTTTCCCTTCCCGTGTCCAGTGGGAAGCTCCAGTTCCATCTCAGTATTTCGATAACTCAGGTGTTGTAGGAGAGAGCGCGTTGAAACAAAGAGCGTAACTTATGTCACGTGAATTGTACAGATATTTGTAAAATTCCATAAATAAAATATATTCTGTAATGATGGAGGGTCCCAAGCAGTGAAACCTCCCTGTGGGCAGAGCTGGAAGGGGGGGGGGGTGGTGGTGAAGGGGTGGGAGCGCTGCTGGCTCAGGGTTTTTCCAAGGGGAAGGGTTTGAGCCAGGCTGGGTGATGCAATCCCGGTTTTCCAGCTGGATTTCCATGGCTCGTGCAGTGCAGTGCAGCTGACAGAAGATGGCACTGACAACCCCCGGCCTGGCCGCGTGGCACGGCCTTTACGACTCCAAAAACCCCTTTTTTAATGATATTTTTTTTCTTTATTTATTTTAAGTGTATTTCCCAGCAGTGGTTTGGAGGAGGAGGAGGTGGTGTGGGATGCTGGATTCCTCTCCAGCTCACATGAAGGAGATGGATTTCCAAGCAGTGGTCATGTCCTTGCTTCCCCACCCTCCATTAGGGGAAAAAAAAAAAAATTAAAAAGCAGCAAACTTTGCTTTTCCCCTTCCCTTTTTTCACCTTTTTATACACAATCCCCCCCGAGCTGCCATGGGGGTCGTCAGGGAGTGTGTGGGGCTTTGGATGGGCTCTTTTTTTGCTGCAAAATCCTCACGTTTTGGTGAACGCCTGAAACTTCAGCTGCCTCAGCGAGGCCTGCTGGCTGGGATCTGGAATCCTGGGAGGGTTTGGGTCAGAAAGGATTGGAAAGATCATCCGGTTCCAGCCTCTGCCACAGGCAGGGACACCTTCCACTAGCCCAGGTTGCTCCAAGCCTCTTCCAACCTGGCCTTGGACACTCCCAGGGATGGGGCATCCTCTGGGAAATCCATTCCAGGGTCTCAGCACCCTCACAGGGAGGAATTCCTTCCATATATCCCATCTAACCGTGCCCTCCTTCAGTCCACAGAGAACTCGGTTGGTGACTGGAGTCCCAGCACTGCTGCCCGTGGAGGGGCACTAGATAACTTTAGGGACAATTTTAGTAGGTAATTTTTTTTTTTTTAATTTACTAGACGATTTAAAATAAAAATTTTTTTCTAGGTAATTTTACAAGAATTTTTTTTTTTAATTACTAGACGATTTTAAAAATTTTCTTTTTTTTACCAGAAAATTTTACGCATAACTTTACTAGATTTTTTTTAATTTTTTTTTTTTACACTAGATAAATTTTTTACTAGACCGTTTCACAGCCCCTCTTTTCACCCAAAAAGCGGTGCATGGTCCCGGCACTCCCAACCCCGACGGCGTGAGGGCGATGGGGGGGGAGAAGCCGCCATGTCGCCCCCCCTCCCTTTCCGTTGCTTGGCAACCACCCCCTTCCCCTCCAAGATGGCGGGCGGGGCGGGGCGGGCGCGGCGCCTGCGCTGGGCGGGCTGTGAGGGGACGGCGAGGAGGAGGAGGAGGAGGAGGAAGAGGGGGGCAGAGGGCGGAGGGCGGTGTGGTGGTGGTGGTGGCGGCGGCGGCGGCGGCGGCGGCGGCGGGCGGGATCGCAGCGCCGCGGAGCCGCCGCCGGGAGCACCCCCCGCGGCCCCCCGTGCGAGGGGAGCGGTGAGGGGGCACGGCGGTGGGGAGGAGGAGGAGGAGGAGGAGGAAGAGGAGGAGGGAGCGGTGCCACCGCCACCATGTCCGGGCGCGGCCACAACAAGCTGCCGACCACCGAGCGCATCGTCAAGGGTGAGGGGAGGAAGGGAGGGGAATGGAAGGGGGGGCGGCCAGGGCGCCCTCTGCCTGGGCGGGGGGTGTGGGGGAGATCTGGATCGTGGGGGGTCTTCAGGTTGGAAACCCCCTAGAAAAAAAAAAAATCGGGGGAGTGTGGTTTGGAGGGAAGGGAGGACGTCCCCAAGCTGGGGGAGCCCGGAAAAGGTGGGGGGGGAATGAGTGATTGGGGAGGGGGTGTCTGGTTTGGAAGGAGAAGGGGGTCACCAGGTTGGGGGAGAACCCCCTTTTCCCCCTCGTTCAAGCTGGGGGAGCCTGGATTTGGGGTGGTGGGCTGGTTTTAAAGGGGGTATCCCCAGGTTGGATGGGGAGTAAGCGTGGTTTTGGGGGGAGATCCTCCAGTTGGGGAGACCCCCCCAGATTAGGAGAGACACCCTCCTGGTTGGGGGAGCCTGGAGAAATGGGAGAAGGTATCTGTGGTTTGGGGCGGGGGGGTTGCTGGTTTGGGAGGGTGCCCCCAGGTTGGGGGAGCTTGGAGAGAGATGTGGGGAGAGGGGGGGGAGTGTGATTTGGGGAGCCCCCCGAGGTTGGGGGAGCCCGGACAATGAGAGGGGGATATACCTGGTTTGGAAGGGGGGGGGTGGGGTCCCAGGTTGGGGGAGCCCTGCGAAAAAAGGGAATCCTGGAATGGTGGGGAAGGGGTGCTCTGGTGGGTCACCCCCCTTCCGTGTGAGTCCTGAGTGGGGGGAACCTGGGGTAGGGGGGACCTGGAAAAGGTGGGGGGGATACCTGGTTTGGGGGAGACCCTGAGGCTGGGGGAGCCCAGAGAGGGGGGCAATGCTTGGAGCAGCGAGGGGGGGTCGTTCTGGTGGGTCACCCCCCTTGAGGGAGAGCCCTGAGTGTGGGGGTCAGGCTGGGGGGGACACACACGGAGGAGCCTGGGGTGTCTCTGGTTTTAGGGGGGCATCTCTGTTCTATGGGGGGCACTTGTACTGGGGGGAGGCATTTTTTGCCCCCCTTGGTCCAGGAGGATGCGACCCCCCCTCCTTCCATTCTCGGCTGCAGTGCGAGGAAGGGGGGGGTCCTGTGGACCCCCAGCCCTGTGCACACAGGTGACAAGGAGGGAAGGTGACATCAGGGGACATCCCTGTCTTAAGGGGAGGGGGGATCCCCATCCCAGGGAGGGTGGACTCCATCTCTCGCACCCACGAGGTCCGAGCCCCCCAGACTGGGGTGCTGAGCCCCCCTGCTCGGGGTGGGATGGGGGGGTGGAGAGCCCACCCTGTGCTCATCCCTCTTTCCTCCCCCAAATCCCCGCTCCCTGCTCGGATGCCCCGCGGGCGGTGCCAGCTGGCCCACTCTCCGGCCCCGTTATAGTAGGTACTATTTTGGAAAGAGCAGAAGACACCGAAGCAGTTAACGAGGAGAGAAATACGTTATGGGAGAAACTCCTGGATCGGGAGGAGGAGGAGGAGGAGGCTGGGGGGGGGATGCACATTTCGCTGCCCTAATTGATCCGGTGCCATCCATGTCCCCGGGAACATCCACTGGGTGCCTCAACTTTTGCCGAGAGGCTCCAAGTTACACAATCACCCCGTTATTAAACCCTCCCCCCCACTCCCTCCATGGCTCCAGTCATTCCAGGCTGCTGGAAGCAGCAGATTTCCCAGGAAGGGTTGTAATCCGCAGCCATGGAGGTGTCCCCACCACGCTGCCATCCCTGCCTCCCTTCCCCTCTGGATGTGCCCAGGCGATTTCTTTCCATATTTTTTTTTTTTTTTTTTCCTTTTTAGCCTGTCATGTGGCCGATCACATGTTTAATGTTAATAACCTCAAACCCAGGGAAAGGGGATCCGGGTGGCAGCCGGAGCGTGGAGGCCCCTCAGGCTCTGTGTAGCGGTGGGGGGGTGAAAAGGAAGCTCACAGGGGGTTTGGTTTTGTTGGATTTTTTTTTTTTTATTTTATTTTTCAGTGGGAATAATACCAGAGCACTCCTGGATTTTTTTGGGGGATCCAAGGTTGGGAAGGGGGGGTGTTCCCGTGGCCGTGGTGGTTTGTAGGTCTCCCGAGAGCGGCCGGTGCTGCCCGTAAATCTCCTGCTAAATCCCAGGCAGCTGCCTGTGTTTAGGTTGGCCTTGTTCGGGAAAGGTAATGTCAATGCAGCCATTATGATTCAGCTGAGTCGGCCGTATCCATGCGCTCTCCCTGCCTGCCAGGGCTTCCAGATCCCGGGAATCCCTGGCAGGGATCCTGCCTGCTTGGCAACACCCACCCCTCACCCCCCCCTCCCCTCCACTATCCATATGATCCCGCTAATTGTGGTCATTAATCCATATCCAAGCGGGGTGGAGGCTCATGGCCTGCTCGCTCTGTGCTCCAACACTCCAAAATCCACGTGAACTTCACATATTCCCCCCCACCCCCAGGGATAATTTCCCAACCAGGGAGGAATATCGGAATATCTCCTTCCGAGGGGCCAGGATTTATTGTTTGAAGGTGGTGACATTGTTCGTGGTTATTAATAATTAAAAAGGCTGAAGATAAAAGCTCGTTTTGTTCCGTGGAAAATGCCTGCAATTAAGTAGGATGTGGAATTTTAACTATGTTTAACCTATATATTTACATCTCCAGAGCCCTGCAGAAGCGTTAACTGTAATTAAGTTTTTCGGCAGGGGAAATGCAGCATTTCCAGTTTTAGGCTTAAACTTGTGCTGGGGAGAACTTCCTTATTAAAATCTCGAATTTTGGGGTAGGTCAGGAATTGCCTCTTTTAAAACAGGGAATTTTGGGATGTGCCAAGAGTTGCTTTTTTATTAAAAATCTGGAATTTTGGGGCAAGAACTGCTCTTTAGTAGCCCAGGAAACTGGTGGCTGATGGTAACGGAGACCATTAATGTCCAAACTTGGTGTTCTCTGGAGAGCACTTGGGGTGGTTCTGCTGGAAATCTGAGGGGATTAGGGGGTCTGGTTGTCTGTATTAGCCCAAAGTTAGGCCTGAATTAACTGCTGGATCCCCAGAATTAACTGGTGGATCCCACATCCTCTGAAATCCACATTATTCAGGCAGGGGGAATGATGCTTGGAGCTACTGATGCTGGAGCTCAGGACTGCAGGATGGGTGTTTTCCCTCTCTGTGCCCCTCCCAAACAAACCTGCAGGGATTTTGTTGCAGTTTTTGTTGCGTTTTGCTCGATTTTTGTGCATTTGGAGGGTTCCCCCTCCAGCAGATCGCACCTGCAAGGTGTGACATCCTCTGGGAAGCAGAGCTGTGTCCAGGAGGATCCTTCCCCCTGACCGTGCTGGAAGGTGACCCAACTCTCTCTCTGTGCAGTTGCATCCATGACAAATCCTTTAAAAACCCAGGATGCTGGGATTTAGACACCAGGCTGATCCAGGGCAAATAATCTCCTGGAATGTTTCTGATATTTGTGTTGTCGTTTCGTGTCTCGGGAGCACACGGTGCCGTTGGGAAGTGGGGAGCTGGGAGCAGCCGGGATCCAGTGCCCTGGTTTTGGCAGCTGTTGTGCGTGTTGGAAGTCAGACACATCCCTAATTCCCATCCTGTTCCATGGTGCCTGTGCTGTGACTTCTGAAGGGGTTCCTGCTTTTCTGAGATGGGGTGAAACTAAGGAATTGTGGTGTAAAGCTGGGACTGGTGCTGGAGCCAAAGGTGTCCTGGAAACAAGTGGATTTTCCAAGTCTGTGCTTGGCTGCCATTTCTTAAGGACTTTCAGACACCTTTCTACAGGTCTAGATGTTTGGGTTTTTTTTCCCACCTGGAAAACATTTAAAGTGTGTATGGGAATCTAAGAGGTGATGAGATGGTCTCTGATGATATATCAGTGTTTGGTTTGTGGTGGGAACCTCCTGGATGTGTTTCCATAGGGAGAGGGACTTTGGACAAGGGCCCGGAGTGACAGGCCAAGGGGGAATGGCTTCCCACTGTCAGAGGACAGGGTTAGATGGGATATTGGGAAGAAATTCCTCCCTGTGAGAGTGGTGAGGGGCGGGATGGAATTCCCAGAGAAGCTATGGCTGCCTCATCCCTGGAAGTGTCCAAGGCCAGGTTGGAACAACCTGGGCTAGTGGAAGGTGTCCCTGCCCATGGCACGGGGTGGCACTGGATCATTTAAGGTCCTTTCCCACCCAAACCATTCCATGATCCATGATTCCATGCTGTCCATGATCTATTCCCTCCCTAGCCAAGGTTTCTGGGAGCGTCAGTGCGCTGGGATCACACACATCCCATGGAAACCTCCTGCCACCTGCCCCTTTCTGGGTAAAATCACACCCCACGAGCTGCTCTCCTCTCTCCACGTTCCTTTGGAGCGTGGCAGAGGTGCTACTGGAGGCAGGGAGTCCAATCCCATAGGATTTGTTCCTTGAGGCTCTGGGGAGCCAAACCCCAGCGTGGAATCAATCGCTGCTGTCTCTGGGGAGTTCCCCCCCTCACGCTGCTGCCAAACCTGGAGGGTTCAGAGGCTCTTCTGCTGCCTGAAGATGCTTTTGGTCGATGAAAAATGTGCAACTTTCTTGTTTTTAATACAAACTACAACTCTGGGAACCCGGTTGGGTGGTTGGGCGTTGGATTTTCTCCAGGTTGGGAAGCGTAGGGATTTTTTACAACGTCAAAAGTAGCTTTTTAATTGCGTGCCGAGCGAGGGAAGGGTTAGAAGAAATCTCTTAATATAAAGGAAATTGTGGGGTTTGGAAAGGAAAAATGTAATACCATCACTGCTGTTGCTGGTTGTGCTCTGTAAGGCTCTAGTTGGCTTGGCTTGTTTAGTGTTGATGTTTTCTAACTGTTAAGGAATATTTGGAGGGGGGAAAGGAGCTGTGGAAGTGGCTAAAAATGGAGTAAAGGCCAAGGTGCACATGCCCAGACCTTGGGATGCCACAGGAAAGGTGTGAATGCCACCAGGGTCAAGATGCTGGGGGGAGATCCCTAAAAAGCAAGTTGTGTCATAATGCAGTAACTTGGCTGGACAGGGCTCAAGGAGGTCCTGGGAGAGACAGCC